CAGAAATGTTTAAAGTTGAAAAATGATTGAAAATACCAAAAAGTTTTTGTTTTTTCGCCGCCATTCGAGAGGTCGGGAGAAATTGGTAGCCAAATGAATGTAAACAATTTCAAATTGTTCTTTTTCTTTTTTAAAATTAATTTTACGAGTCTATGAAACTGATTCCACACCTTGTCTATTTTAGTAGCAATTATTCTTGCGACGTACGTTCAATGAATTTTTATGAAAATACCTTGACCCAGACAGCCTAGACCTGTTCGACCTCTCTTTTAAGTTGAAAAATAATCTTCGGCTTCTCTTCCTGTTAAAGAAAGTTAAGTCAAACTTACGGATGTTTCAGTTAGAAGTATAAAATTTATTTATAAGAATAATTCAATATTAAAAAATATTTATTGTTATTTAGTAAATCGTCCTACTCTAGGGTCATTAGACTGTTAGGACCTTCGCAAGTCTATTAGATTTTTAAATATAGATTCAGTAATTTGTAATTTTTTTTGTTTATTTATTTAAAAAGAAACTTTTCTGTTGTGATTTATCATCGGGGAATTGTTTGGAAGGCCGGGGTGTCATAAAGTTTCCACATAGATGCGATTGCGTTCACCTCAATGAAGGCTAAATCATTTGGTTGTAGGGGAAAAAACTCGCGTTTTCCGCATTTTAAACGTTCGAGAATTGTTATCAGGGCAAAAACCTTTAGAAAAAAAAAGATACAGCTAACAAGGGGACATTGAATTTGAACGAAGTACGTCCCGCGGTAGAAAGGTCGCACATTGACACCTTTGGCTTTCTTTCTACGTCCTCCTTATCACAGCTATTTTGACGAAAAAATATTGCGTTAGAAAGATAAAGGAAGATTATCTATCCTTCCCGAAAACAAATCCAAGTACGTACAATCGGAAACATCCAAACCGGCAATGAAAAAGAAATGTTAAAAATTTCAGTCAGGGATAGAGATAGAAAAAGTTACTTCAACTGTTTTTAACAGAAAATGTTTGATTTTTTTAAATTCAAAATTCTTCTATAAAAATTGCGTGAAGTTAGGGAGTTGTTCGCTTTTTATTACTCTTTTGTTAATCTGGCCCTATAAAAGCTGTGCCACTTAAGCTTCTTCTGGTCTAAAATTATGGTAGGAAATGCATTGGTTAAGGGATGATTATTTCATATCATTGGTCAACATAATTCCACAGTGTTTCAGAATCTGTAAAAACTACGCGAGGGAAATCACACAGACTTATTTGCTTAAGATGGAAGAATCCAGGTGTACAATGAAACAATGAATCGTTCTGGTCCGTCTAATCTCGCTGTGTTTGCCAAAACAGTTAGGAGTTTCGCTATGTTTAGTATGCCTAAAAATACGTTCGAAAATTCACAAGAAACACAAAAAATGACAAAGATAAAAGACAACGCTTAAATTCAACTACTTAAGATATTGTGGAATTAACTACTGGATCAGCATTGCGAGAAAATAACTTTTATGTATTCTATCTAGCTTCGTTTGGTCAAAAAATGAAAATAATGAATTATAACTTCTGGGAAGAGTTTATTCACGTTCTACTGGTACGCATATTCTAGCTGTGTTTGCTAAAATCGCTTTTTCATGTTATGTTCATGTTCAAGTTATGACAGCGTTGAGGCTGGTTGAGATTTTGAGTAGAATGAAATTGGATGAATGTTTTCATTTTTGGGTATGTTTAAAGCGTTAGAAGTTTGCCTATCTCTAGTTGTACCTAAAAGTACGATCGAAAATTCACAAGAAACCCTTACAATAAAAGGACATACACAAATTATAACGCACAGAGTCAACTCTTTAAGATGGTAGAATCAGTATAAACAGAGTAAATAATATTGTTGGGAAAGAATTTATTATTGTTCTATTGGCCCGCATATCCTCGCTGTGTTCGCCAGACTGCTTTTTGACGCAGTTCAGTCATGTTTGAGCAATGTGGTCCGCCTAGTTTCGCTGTGTATGTTAAAAGCGTTAGTAGTTTGGCTATAACTGCTGGTTATGCTTACAAGTACGATCGAAATTTCACAAGAAACACACAAAAAAGGACAAACGCTACATAAAACGCACAGACTCAACTACTTAAAATGGTGAAATCAATAGAAACTAATTATAAGATAAATATTATAACTGTTTTGTAATAAGAATTTATTCTCGTTCCGATAGTCCGCATGTTCTCGCTGTGTTTGCTAATATCGCTTTTTCATATCATCATGGCCGTAGAACATTTTCGGTAGACAGGAAATGGTTGAATGTTTTCCAAATTGGGAAAAATCAAATTTTGAATCAGTAAATATATAAAAAGTTTAAAAATACCAAAATAGCTTCCACCAAAATAGGCCAAAAAATTGTTAAAAAAACATGCAATTCGGATTCGTTTTCAGCACTGTGAAGCCCTTAAATATGAATTTTTTAATTTTTTTAAAATATATATTTTTGGGCTAGATCACCGGGGACTTTTTTTCTCTTGTGTACTGTGTTCCACTTACAAATTCACAACTCCTTTGGTTTTTATCCAAATTCAACGTCATTACCATCGTTGGAAAGCTTCTCCTTTTATAGTACGTCAAAAATGTTTTGATTTTATGTCATCATAAGTGAGAAAAATAAAGAATCAATCAAAACTCCTGAAACGTTCTTCGTTATAAATCTGATTCTAAATTTTTTCGGATGCCAAGTTTGTGCCATCACGTGTAGTACAATAAAGTCCTAAGTCCATGCAAAGTTTCCCGTAGATCAATGGGGTTATTTCCAACTTAACAACATTTTTTGTGATTTATGAAGAAAAAACTAAGGCAATTAGGATGGTTTCAAAAATGTGTATTTCAGTTTTTTGAGGTGAGAAAAAAGAATATCAACTTTATTTCTTATTAAATTTGTTTTCGCCTACTTTCCACGCGTAAAATATAATGCTAATTTTTTCGTACCATTTCAAGGCGTAGGGATTTCTTCCTTTTGAACTTATTAAACTTTCGTTTAGTTTTGTTTCTTAGCTCGGTTTTTTGAAGTTTTTTAAAATTACAAAATGGTTATCAGGGGTATAGTATCGAGACCTACCTATTGCTCAAGAATTGCTTTCCAACGTACCATAGCCTTTTCATAACTATTTCAGGACAGTTGTATATGATAGTTGGTCTCATACATATTATTTATCTTTTAAGTTTTTGAGGATGCAGAATGTAGTCAAATAGTTCTTTTTTGTTTTTGTTTGTGTTTCTACATTTTGTGGACAGAAACAAAAACGACAGATAACTTTAAAGAACATATATTTTACAATTTTTTAAAGTGGCATTTTACTGGAGCATGTCTGGTAAATATAAGCAAGGGTTTTTAATTTCTGTTGAGTATAACTTCCTTAGTTATCCCATGTTTTTGCCTCAGTAACCCAAGATTCCAGTTCTTTTATGTGGTCACAAAATTGATTTGGGCCTGTATGTTGTTCCGAGGCTTCCTTTTTAGCAAGTTTGCCTGTTGCTTTGTTTCCTTCGGTCCCATGACTTGGGGCCCACCAGAGCGTTAGGTGTTTTTTGAGTTTTGAAGCAGTTTCAGACTAAACGCAGAATGATTCTTTTCGTGATTCTTATTCTTCAGATTCGTTTGGGTTTGAATAAACTTTTTAAGTTTTTCCAGCTGTGTTGTACGGCTTTTTTGTTATTTTTTATTGTATATGCATTTCGAGGCTCATTTTTGCCTTCTTTTCAGTAAATTACTTCTAAAATAATTATATGTTTTAGAAGTAATTTACTGAAGGGAGATAAAAATAAGCCTCGAAATGCATATACAATCAAAATAATTTTTAAAAAACGTACATCACAGTTGGAAAAACTTGATAAGTCTGTTCAGACACAAACGATTCTTTTCGTGTTATTGCTAAGTAGGTTATGTTTATTATTATTATTAATTTCAATTTTTTTGAAGTCACGATAGCTCAAGTGGTAGAGTAGCGGCGTATCAAGCCGAAGGTCGTGGGTTCGAATCCCGCTCGTGACTGACTTTTTTATCTCAACTTAAAACCTTAATTAATTAAATATTTTTTTTTTTTTAGGAAGAAATAAAGTTAATATTCGTTTTTTTGTACCCCACCCCCAAACAAACTAAAAAAACCTAAATACAAATTTTGGGTAAAATCCAAAAGTAATTCATTTTCTCTTAAATTTTCCGCCTTGGTGCTTTCTATTCTTCAAATAAACAAGACTTTATAGCTAGATGACATTTTTTCTAGCCCAAATGCCAATTTACTAAAAAATAAGATAAAATCCTTTCAAAATATAGATTTATAAATACTGAAATGTGTTTCTTTTCTTCTAAGATGACCGATCAGTCATACTTCGAGATAATTTAATATTAAACTTATTTCAACTAAAAGTTCTACAACTTCTGAATATATTCTGTATAATTGATACAAGTTAACGTTCAAATATATAACCACTGTATGTTTCTACTGTCTTTGTTTATTATACAAATAGCTGTTTAAAGATTATAAAGTATTTAAGACTTAAAGTCCATGCTGGAATCAAACACCATTTCAAGGAAGTCAAGTTTATCCCCATGTAGCTCTAGAAAAGAATTTAATGAATGGCCCTAGAACAAAAATAAATACAAACAATGACGTCACTGGCTTTCTGCCATAAACGAAGTTATAACACTTAATGGCACTTAAATATTCAATTATTATTTAATATTGTGTGCACGTGCCCATTGTAGTCGGGGACAATTGGTTGCATATTTAAAGCGAAGGTGCTAATTGTAGAATTTAAGAATTGGCCTTCGACGGTTCGACATCATCTGATGATCATTTATTTTGAATGTTTATAGCAAATCGTAAGAGAAAAAAAATTAACAATTTCTTGTTAGTACTTGAAGACCTTGTATTTTGAAAAAATTTTATGATTATAATATTACATAATTTAATTGATTTTTACATTATCGTTCATTGTTTAAAATCGTTAGTTAATAAGGTTTGTTTTTAATTTATAAAAAAAAATTTCTCACCCACCTACAGAGGTGAATATCCCATAGAATCTGATTATAGGTAAAATTAAGGTCCAGAGCCTCGAACTCTTCTCCCCATAGTTGGTCAGTTCTTCTTCACATACACCATAAACTCCAGTGGTGAACATTCCCGATCGTCTAAAAAGTGCGATCTTTGAGTCTTTTTGCCATAAGTACTTCCAACCGCGATCGTGTCCTGCTTGATACTAGTTCCGTCCCTCTGCTTCGCCGCCGCCAGAACCGCGACGATATGCCATGCCCCACCATTGACCCTTTTCAGTTCGATTTATCAACAAAATATATATACTCTTAATCCCTATTAAATTCCCTGTTAAGTAAAAAGCTAAAGTAGGAGAAATATATTTCTTTAAAAAAAATATAAAAAAGTTGTTTCGGCATAACTGAAATTGTGCATAGCTGCGCTTTGGAACGTTTACAACTACGGAAAAGTAGATATCTAAATATTTTAAGCGTCTTAACTGCATATTTTTGCTTTGGATCACGTACAACGAAAAAAGAGATGGATATTTCAGGAATTTATTTGTAAAAAGTTGAACTTTGGAACACGTACCATCAAACCAAAAAAATCTTGAAATGCTTACAACTTTACTGCACATTTAGAAGAAAACAAAATCAAAACTGTATTGTTGAATTTGTTTTAATAAAAAGCAAGAGGTTAAGTTTAAAAAAATGTATTTTTCGAACTAGAACTCTCCCTTATCCAACAGCCTCGACCTTTTTCGTTAGGATTATAGTTCTTGTGCACATATAGCACCTTTCAGTCATATTAATAATTTTTTCAGCCAAATTAATAATCGTCTCATCCGATGTAATAATAGTCTCAATCATTTTAATAATCGTTTCAACTACTTTAATAATAGTCCATTTTGGGATTTTATAGACGGGGTGAAAATAAATACGAACTAGTGTTGGGAAAACCTTTATTTAAATTTTTAAAAAGTAAAATTATTTCACCAAAAAATATAAATATATGAAGGATGATATAGCATTTTTCAGTGAAATTAATAATTTATTCAACCAATTTAATATTGTCTCAACTAATTTAATAATCGTTTCATTCAATTTAATAATCATCTCATTCAATTTAATAATCGTCTCAACCAATTTAATATTCGTCTCAACCAATTTAATATTTGTCTCAACCAATTTAATAATCATTTCATTCAATTTAATAATCGTCTCATTCAATTTAATAATTGTCTCATTCAATTTAATATAATTTCATTCAATTTAATAATCGTCTCAACCAATTTAATAATCATTTCCTTCAATTTAATAATCATCTCATTCAATTTAATAATCGTCTCAACCAATTTAATATTCGTCTCAACCAATTTAATAATCATTTCATTCAATTTAATAATCGTCTCATTCAATTTAATAATTGTCTCATTCAATTTAATAATTGTCTCATTCAATTTAATAATTGTCTCAACTAATTTAATAATTATTTCATTCAATTTAATAATCGTCCCTTTTGGGATTTTATAGTTAGGGAGAAAAGAAATACGAGGTAGAATTTGCGAAAACCTTTACTTAAATTTAAAAAAAATTAATCAAATAAAATTATTCCATCAAAAAATATAAATATTTGAAAAATAATAACAGCTCACTCTTTTGCGATTTTTTAAGTGAGCTGTGTACAAAAATTGATGGGCTTTCATTGTGTAATGCATTTCTCGTTATGGAAGATGTTAGAATCCAGAAAACTGCTAAAGTTAAAGAAGCTGAAGTATTTTCTCATACAATTGCTTTCCTGCCGCCCTACTCGCCAACTCTAAATCCTTTGGCACATTTGTTGGAGCAATTGTTCCCACGAGGACCCAGCTAGCTGAAACCAAAGGAACTAACAACTTAAGTGAAATAATAAGCTGCAGGGTTCTCACTTCTGTCTTAATTTTGGAGAATGAATAATCATGAACAAATAAATATTTAAATTTCTGTAGCTTGTTACTCTTAACTTGTTCTGCCTATTTTCAATGGTTTTATCTTTTAGACGGATGTGGAACATCGCTTGTGGATGTCCACATATATCTCTCGTGCTAGTTACATTTTTTATAAATTTGATGGGGAGAACATGTCTGGTTTAGATTTCTGCCCTGTTTTGTGAATAATCATGCAAAAAGTATGCCTTTAAATTTAGAATTGTTTGCTCCTTAATGGGCAGGATTGACACAATAACGCACATACCAACCACTGAAACAGACAAATTGCTGTAATCTGACAAAGAAAACTAAGTAGAATTAATAAGTGATCAAGCTACAGAACAGAAATTTTATTTGTAAATACTTTTTGAAAGGTTTTCTGACATTGAATTCAGCGGTGCAAATGGTTTTAAATTTAGAGCAACCATAGTTGTTACCGTTTTTCTAAAAAAAAGTTTTGAATAGACAAAATCTCCTAATTCTTCAACCAAGAATCAATTTATTTATTTATTGTTTTAATTGATACTGAATAAATTGCTCATGGTGTTAAAGGAAAAAATCGCAACAATTCCATCAAATAAATTATTTAACTGGACATTCTTTCAACAACCACTCTCGATTCTTTGTAATTCAAACATATACCAGGGAATCTAAATACTTTGTCAATAATCTTTTTCATATTTTAGTTTAATAAAGATTATTAAATTGTGAAATGTTGTGTTGAAGTCTGCGAGTAGATGGTCATCCTGATCTGCCTATTCTTGTTCTTTTTGTTTAACATATGAATTTGGCATCACACAAATTATTCAGAGGGCTTAACATTTTACTACCTGTTGGGTGTCGCAAATGTTAAGTTGAACCATTTTACTTACTTTTTTTCTTCAAATCATTCCTCGAATCATTAGCGTGGCAAAAACATTGTAATCACATGGCCACTGCGATCCCCTTGCTGGTTTGATCACTTTTATGTGTCCTTTTTTTAAGTTAAGAGGTGCAAATGCTGAAAAGCTTAACTGTCTATTTAAGTTGGGTAAAATAAAACAAACCGCTATTTCCTTTGTTTTTAACAAATTTAATAAATAATATTTTACATGTAAATATTGTGAGTGTACAATTCTAGAAATATTAAAACGCAACAAAACAAATTTTCTTTATTCACTACAATATTAAGAATAATATTTTATTATTAAATTCCAACATCAATAAAATTTATTAATATTATAAGAAATAATTACAATTGTAACAAGAGAGATAAGTAGTAGGGGATGAGGATAAAACTTTTCCCAATGCAATGAACTATTTACACCAACTTATAAACTCTTCTAAATGCTCTTTAGAACAAACAAAATAAAATGATGATAAACAAAACAAAATAAACATTGATAAATAAACCATTATGTTTTAAGGCTTACAAAAAAGTTGAACTATAAAAAAGTATGGTGTTTCATAATTTAATGGTAATCTGAAAGCTCAGGCCAAGATATCTTTTTCATACAGTTTGGATTTTTTTATTTTAAAGAATTGATGGTTGTTCATTAATTTTTACTGTTAAATTTAATAGTTCTTTTATTAATAAAAATTCATTAATTTATTTAGAATAAATTGATACAAGCTTTTCTATCTGCTTCTATTTTGCTAGGTCTGTAACAAAGGTCTGTGCATTTTTTCCCTTAGTAGTTAAGTAATGTTAAATCAAATAATAGGACTTTAATTATAATTATTCTCTTTCAATCCATGTTACTAATAATTGATTATTTAGTATTAACATGTCTTCAGTGAGGATTAGTAGATTGAAGAGTTTTGTATTATGGATTATAAGCTTTTGCACGCATCTTACCAAGCATGTTAATCCTGTTAGCTGTTTGCAGTATCATGATTTATTTTGGTTTTATGTTATTCATCTTGACAGAGATCATTTTAGCGATTTGTTTTTCATTATTGTCGATCATTTTAATAACCACCAAAAATATCTAAGAATAATTGATCTAAATTGCAAATTTGAGCAAAGCCGGTTAAGAGATAAGTTTTTTAGGGAACAGATAATTTACAAAAATATAAATTAGAAGTGTACTTGATTTTTTACTTTTTAAGACAAACGTGAACTGAACTGAAGTCAGGTTCTTAACTTGAATTAAAATATTTTAAATATATAACTATAAAACAGACATTTGTTACAACCCATTTGCTCAACGAAGGCAAAAATAGCAATTACTAAATTAATAGAATGATCATAGAAATGTTTTTATGCTTAAAATCTAACCAATGTGTAAGCAGTAAAAAAATTTGAATAAATAATCCAGCTTTTGAAGGCACATAGATACAAAAGGTTTTGCTAAACATGGCAAATTTATGCATTTTGTTAAATTTGAACAATACTGTTTTTTTGATAAAAAGTAATTTTTTTAAATTTAAATATGAGATTATAAATAATATAACGTCAATCTCTAGTTGTATTTATTTAATTATTGATTATTTATGAGAAATTATTTTATTCAGAACAAGTCTTATCAATTTTCTCTTAAAATAGGTAATTTAAAAACTTTCTCGATAAAAGTTCACCTCATGGAATCCCACAAATAAAATTGTCTATAGGTGCCTTTATAAATCCTCATAATATAATATGAAAAATGCTAAGTAAAGTAACATCAGGATAAATTCTGTTTAACGTGTAAACTGCGGAGCTCTCACATTTTCTATGTATTTTAAAAACTCGCTGATGTTTATTCCAGATGTTCAGGGTTTTACTCTCACTTCATTAAGTAAATTTTCATAGAGTAAAAGAATTTATGTAGGAAGATATGAGAGTCATTTTAAAATGATTTAATGAACATTTATTCAACTCAGAAAAATTTGTATTTCGGTCAAGTGAGGAAAATCTTAGAACGAAGAGAATAAGAATTACCCATTGTACAGAAACTGTCCCGCAGGACGAGTTGATCGACCTTTTTACGTTAATGATGAATTTTTTAACGATATACATAATTCGAGAAAATTTGTTTTTATGGCAGTTCTCTCCAGAAAAACACTCATCGATCACGAATATATGCTAGGAAAAAAGTTAACAGCGGGAATTTGAAATTTTCTGGGCCTTGTTATTAGGACGTGTCAAATTGTTAGGAGGCACTGTCCACTCCTGAGGAACATGTTTGCATTGTGAGCTGTGCCTAACCACAGAGAGCCAGTCAGTGATCTTTTTTTAAATTTTCCTTTGGTAGAGTTCATCCAGTCTTCGCCTCACATTTTATTATAGTTTTACTTTTATTAAAAATTTGTAAACCTGTCAAGAAGCAATATTTAACCTGATCACACACACCCAAAATGGGAGCAAGCAAAACTTTTTTACCCTCAATTTATGACAGGTTAAAAATAGACTACAATGGTGCTAACTAACCATGGTAAGCACAAATAATATTTGTATCAATTCAACCTGGCGAATATGAAAAATGCACATGTAAAATGGAATGCACTCAATTATAAAGACACCTAATATTTCAATGCCCATTACACAAAGGCAGAAGACACCAAATTAAAGATCGATGCCTCACAATACAGTAGTGGAATGACAATTTAACAAAATGGAGAAGAAATGTGTGGTGATTAGTGAATATTAAAAAAATATATTTTGCATTGTATAAATTCACTTTTTTCCACATCCTAAATGTATTTGTTAAATGTAAACAATGTTTGTAAATCCCAGGCCCTGAAGATGATCTCAATAAAGATCAAAACGTTGGCACGATAAAGAAAATGTTTTTCTGAAACCTACATCACACCAGACGGCATCTCATGATTTCTGAATAATAATTGGAGAAGAAAAGCAAATCCCAAAAGACAAAAATACAAGCGAACATACTTGGATGAACAGTTACGGTAAACCCTAAAGAAAGAATGTAATGAAAAATGAAATAAGATACGAGTATCAACGTTCATTTCAAGACGCAAAGATGAAATATTGGAAACAATTTTCTGACAATGTTTATGCAAAAACTGTCTAGAACTAATCTACAGTATGACAAACAAAAAGGCCGATACTAAAGTTGTCATGACGATTTCAAAAAAATGAGTTCGGTCACTATTGAAGCTTCATTAAGAGGCATATGATGGTTAGAGAACCACCCCCAACAAAACATTCTTCTGTCTAATCGATTCAGCCTACAGACACCATATCTGTTATCCACAAACCCTCTATGACACACTAAGAGACGATCCAGATTCTAAAGACCAACTTTTTCAATTTATTAAAGCTGCTAATTTAATGAACAAAATATAAATTAATTTGGCCTTCGCCATTTTGTGTGGGGGTTCACAACCAAAAAGGAAAGCCGAAATAAAATTAATACAACTATAATGTCTGGGGGACCGCGGTAGCCGAGTGGTTAGCATGAGAGACTCTCACGCCGCAGTCGTGGGTTCGATTCCCACCGTCGCCTCTGGCCCTTTTTTCACGATAACCCCCCCCCATTTGAACACACATATAAGAATTCGTAACCATGGCTAATATGCATAGATCATAAGGCAAAAAAAAAAAAAAAAAAAAAACTGTCATGATGATTAGTGCTTTGCCCTCTGCATTGTGGCTGGCACTCTGAGCTTCCTGGTCTCTGGGGCCGTGACCCCTCCAACTCTGCATGTGCAGTGAGGAGGCTGCATAAATAAACGTATTAAGGCAGCTATGACCCTTAGTGGTTCTTTGCCTTTACATATTTAAACAAAAAAAAAAAAAAAAAATGCACAGCTAACTTGACAGCTGACATGTAAAAAAGAGATAAAAACCAGCCCAGGCTCATCATTTCATGTTCCTAACAAAATGACTAAAGAAAATGCGACATAAATTACACAAAGAGAAGAGAAGAACAGAACAAGAAGTTATTTGCAAATGATGGCTGCATCGAACCAAAATTCATTTTGCTCAACAAACGTAACAAAGACTGACAAGGAGAGAGGCAAAAATAATTTTTTTTAACTAGTCTGCATATAGGAGGAGTTCCCTATCCCACTAATGATGTAAGAAAATAATTGAAATTAAAGAAATTATTAATAAAAATAGGTATAATTTGACACAACACAGGTCAAGGGTAGGTGTCAGGTGAGGTCTGGTCATAATGAGATCTCAAATCAGAATAATGCCAATTCCCGCTTTCGCTTGTTCTTTCTGCCTTCTTTTGCTGTCCAGCAGACCTGCCTTCATGATTACCGGGTTGACATGATCGATTTCAAAAATTAAATATTGTGCTCAGTAAAAAATTGGTTATTAATCCAAAAATCCAATTATATCCTCAGGAAATATATGTGAATGAAGCTCCGCAGCAATGTGTTATTAAATAAATATTATTAGTATTATTCTAAAAGTTTGTCAATTATGATTAGATGTAAAAATAATCTTTCATAATCTGCAAGACAGCCGTAACAAAAAAAAAATCTTAATGATTTTACTGCACGGACACTTTTTCTTTTTTTAATTTTATATTTGTGGTGTCAATATTTAATCTAAAAACTACAATAATTTAAAAAGTAACTAAATAAAATTATTAAAATTCCCTGAGATGAAATTTTATTACTTTTTGATTGAGAATATCACAGTCAGTTACGTCGCTTCGCTATTTCTATTCTGAACTCTTACAATTTTACGAGCTAAACCACTAATACCTCCATCTGGGCGGGAGTTTGCATCTCCTATTGTAAATCCTTCCCGAGTAAGGAGGAAGAGAGGAAGCTAGGTGCAATTTAACGATTAGTTTGTAATGTCAAAAGTGATATTTCTTTTACTTATTGACCTACCGTAGTTATTCTTCTCTTCGATCAGTGGGTTGATGAGGCCACTCTGTGCTTTGGTGGAAACGCCAGAAAAACCATTTTTCACTGGCAGTAAGAACATTGTCTGTAATAAAAAAAAAAGCAAATTTGTAGTCAATATTTAAAATCGGACATGATCAAGACATGTATACATTTTTTTTTAAATTTTGATGATCCATATTTTATAGTTTTCATTGTTTTTACTGTTCAGTAACCATTTACGATTATTTTATTAAAGAAATGCTCACCTTATTACGCGTTGTAAATGGTCTGACTCTCGGTTGTGTTCTTGCAAACCTTAACATTGCAGATGTGGCTCGTTTTGAAGGTAGCTAGACATTTGAAATAGTATTTTTGTTTATGACAAGTTTTAAAACAATTATAAAAATATAAACACAAGAAATTAAATAAACTAACTTTTGGTGTGATCGCTAGCGCTTCAAGGGGAGGTAAAATTCCATGTCGGTTTGATTTCTTAGGAGTTACGCATATATTTTCTACTCTGTAAAACAAAATGTCAATTAAATGATATATAATGATAATGTAGTGAGCGTTTTATCGGACTTACGGAGTTTCAGTTTCATATTCATTTGGTATAGATTTTTTCTTTGTAATTCTAGCTGATGATTGAGGTACACTTTTTAACTTTGTTTTTGAACTCTTAGTACTACTTGCTGAGTCGTTTATTGTTATCGTTGGAAACTTTTTACCCAACTGATTGAGCTTTTGTGACGTCAGCTGTTTCAAGTCGTCCACTTTTAAATATGAATTCCTGAAATTTGTAGACGAGGGTGTTTTTTTATCTGGGTACGACGTCCCGTTTATTTCTAAATCTTTTTTCAATTCTATCCTGATGGATTCATTTTTAGCTAGAGTGTTGATTAATTTTTCAGCAGACAGCTCTTCAATTTTTTTAATAACAGATGGCAAAACACGTTCGCAAAGCTTGTCTACAACAGCGTCCTTTAGCTCTTCCTTTGTATGACTCTTATCGATGAGTTGAAGGCATTTTTCTCTCGGTATTGATATCTTCTTCGTATTAGGAGGTTCATGGTTGTCTGAGTGACACGCCAAAACTTCTTCATAATCCGCTGGGTAGAATTCAGGCTCATAATTCTCGTTCGGGTCAATTGGAATTGGAATAATTCTCTTGCCAACAACTCTATAAAAGCAAAATATGAACATAACACAAAAAAAGGTCTATAACAAACAAACCTTAAATGAGGAAAATGTTCCTTCCAGATATTACACTCAGCTCTTTCGGTATCAGTTAGATCCTCGCCATTTGTCTCCGAGTACAGCGCTGCTTCAAATCTTTCAAAATGTTCTTTCAGTTTGCTTGCAGCATCTTTTTCCGTTTCCTACAGAAAATAAATATCTAAATAAGTAAATTACATTGAACAATTTAAATTTTGTACTTACATCAGTCCATGACAAAGTACTTGATGTGCTCCTGCTGCCCAAGTCAGAATCATAGTCTTCTTCAATGAATGAAGGTGTCAAATCGTGTCTATAATATGATCTACAAATTAGAAATGTCCTTGTAGAACATACTTAGCGTACTTAAAGGCTTTAAATTTGGTCGCTTTCAATCATTTTGGTTGTCAGATACCCACCTTTATAAAAAACAAACAGGATTGGCAGACCAAAATGGTCAAAACGACCAAATACAGGATCAACTCACAGACTCAAAGAAAATCTCAAAATAAATGTTTTTATTATGAGTATACAGTATTTTGCAGTATTAAATAACAATGCAAAATATAAGTATACTACAAAAGTCAAGAGTGGTAATCATAAAAAATAAAATAAAAAGTTTACTGTAATTACATCGTTACTGATCATTTTGGTTTGCCTATCTTCACTGGGTTGGCGTTTTGGCTATGTGAACAACCAACACTAAAGATGGTAAAATGCCAAAATGTAACAGACCCCCACAATGATAGGCGGACTAATCGATAAATGCCCAATTACAAGTATGGTCAACCCCCAACACCCTACAGGCAAGAAATTTCACTGCTCATTGCAATTAATAAAATTTTATACATTTTATTCCCAATCATTAAAAAAACTGGTCATATGCTTGGATTCTTTGGCTGTGCTGTTGGCCATGCAGAACCAATTTTCCCTTAATCCAGGAAATCCCTAGAGGAACTTGGGAGTCCTATTCATGTGAATAACGAGACATATGCCATTTTTGGTAAAGATCTTGCTGACAGGGCAGCCAAATCAGCTGACACAGAAGACATTCGGATTACTGGCAAAGACCTTCTCTCATATGTTAAAAATAAGATCTGGGAAAACTGATTATACACAATACACTGAGGGAAACATGGCCCTCAACAGTTGTGCATACCTAAGAATAGGCCATTGAAGTCTTACCATCCCTCATGGCAAGGAAATTTCTGATTTACCAAAGCTGTCAAGAACCGCTAACAGTCAAGCACATCCTGGAGAGGAGTGCATGTGGTTTAGGTAAAATATTGTCTGATGACTTCTTGCTTATGCTCAAATCCCGACAATCCTTGAGGGATGCACATCTTTTGTTTGTCTTCCATGCTCTTTTTGTCCGATATGTCAATTGGTTAAGCAAGTTTACTGGAATGATGGTGTACCAGCTAGTATTTTTTATACCAGCCTCATTATTATTCTATTCAAGGCAGATTATGACACAAATGTCTTTTCTACTTATAAATTATTATTTGGAAATCGTGAGATGCGGTCTGGTGCGACGTAGATTTAGTAAAACATTTTCTTTATTATGCCAACGTTTCGATCTTTATTGAGATCATCTTCAGGGCCTGGGATTTATAATCATATAAGTATATTTTATAACAAAATCAATTGTTTAAACTACCCGGCAACTTACATCCCAGTATCTGGATCTATGACTGCAAAAGACCCAAACAAAATCCTATAGACTACCCAACATTTTGAACACCAACACAATTTCAACATCAACAATCCAAAAATATTACACACAGAACAAAACAAACATAAACGTAACTTCTTAGAAATGGTTTAAATCAACAGAGATAAACACAGCATCAATTACAGAAACACATGTTAACTCAGTCACAGCTTCGCTAATATTATTAATCAATATGTACATATATCATTATCGCATCACACAAAACATATAAAACAATCATTACATTCCTCAAATCAAACATTTCCATGTAGTCTTATTCTTCAACAATTTGGCTTTCCTTTCCCTAATTATCCCCGTCTACATAATCCTGAAAGGATAATCAGGCCGAACCATTATCCATTCTTTCCCATTGTCGGCTCCTTTCACCTCAAAGAAGCCGACTCCTCATATAAAACGTTTTTCTATCCCTACTTCCTTCTCCACCCCTTCAAAATCCAACGTACATAAACAATAAAACATCAATATCTCACTGGTACTCTCAACACGACACAATAATGTCACATCTACACAGAAAACAAACACTTTGAGTGAGTACAAATACTTTGAGTCTAAAATTTCTTGCATAGTATAAATTCATTTTTTCATATCCTACATGCATTTGTATAATTTAAACAATGCTTATAAATCCCAGGCCCTGAAGATGATCTCAATAAAGATCGAAACGTTGGCGCAATAAAGAAAATGTTTTTGTAAACCTAAATCACACCAGACCGCATCTCACGATCTCCAAGTAATCATTAATTAACGATCACTAAACACTACTAAACTTAGAATGGACGATGATTCGTCCACTCTACAAAACAAAATTCATAAATTTATTATAATTTAAGCCATAATTTCAAATATTTAATTAAATGTTTGTATTTGTTAACCATTAAATGGTTAGAAAGAGTTTCAAAATTCTGATGAAGGGGATGAAAGGAATTGACAGTTTGTTTTTCTTTCATGTTTGACTTATCTCTGATATTTTTTAAAATATATAATTACAATTTTAAGGCTGATACTAATCATGTCAAGATAAATTCAATGGAAGACCATTCACAGGTTGATGATGATGAGATGGATAATCAGAAAGTGGGGTTTTTTTGTTCCCAAGCACTGCAGCCTTTAGCATTATTGTACTTTCATACTTCTTATTAATAAATTAATAAAAGCAAAATTCAGTGCAATCGATTTGATCCTTCTACTAAAGAATACTAGGTCGTTGCTACAATTCCTTTTACCCTAGTTTTCTTTGTTTCCCAAGTTATGCCTATGTGAGTCAGTTTTGGATTGATTTGAATAGTTAAGATGATAGTATTGTGAAAATTATCATTGAAAAGAGAAAACTGAAAGAATCAATTAAACCGTATCAAAAATTTAGAAATTACTCACCGAAATAAATATGAACTTCACACTTGTGTACGTTTCCATCAAATGTCTTAAAACAATTCACTTGACAATTTTATAAACAGAATTGGCGAAAAATAAAATCAATTAGTGATTTAAAACAAAAGGAAAAAGAGTCTTTAAAGGGCAATTGTAAAAATGTAAAAATCGTTTTTTTCAATTATTTCAAGCGCGGCTTGTCACTTTTTTCCACTTACTTTTTTTTTTCTACAAGAAAAACCTCGATCCTACTCACTTTGACGCCACTTAAATATATTTGAAAAAATTCGACCTTACATCATTTAGCTTTGACGCCACTTAAATATATTTGAAAAAAGAGAAAAAACTCGACCTTACTTCATTTAGCTTTGACGCCACTTAAAAATATTTAGGAAAAAACTCGAACCTACTTCGCTCAGCTTTGACGCCACTTTAGAGATGGCCCTTTTTTTTATATAGGCCTATTAGTCTGATCGAATTTACAATTTTATCTTCTAATGCGTCTTAATTCTAATAACACTTTTATTACATAAATATGAGAAAGTACTTACTGTGATAATCCTTTGCAATCAGTGGACATTTGATAGTATCGAAAATAATTGGATGTATGAATTTTTTTTTAAAATTAAATATATGAAGTTTTCAAGAATTCCACATTTGTCATCTTTCAAAAATAATTCCCATTCTGCATTGGATCAAAATGGACAAAGGTTACGCAGAAGGTAATGAATGGAAAGACATCTGACAGCAGAAAAGAAAAACTTCCACCCAGGGCGACGTGTTTTAAAAAAAAAATTTTTGACAGATTTTCTTATACCCTGGTGAACTTTAGGGCAAAGCACCGAAGCAAAAATAACACCACAACTGACAGATAGATATCAAATAAATTAAGTATAACGCAACCGAGCTGGCCGAAGCTCGAACGGTGGAAATCCGAAGTTCTTCAAACGTCATCAAGTTTATTTTAAGTTCCTCAGACTTCTTTGCCTTTTGTTCCAACCTTCTAGGCATTTCATCGTATAATCTATTTAAAACTACAAACAAATCAACTCTATAATTCAAAAAGCGACCATTTTACTACTATTACCATATTCGTTCTAGAAATTTCGTTTTATTTTTAATTTTCTTGTTTATAGACGAACTTTTTATTTTCTACAAGAATTCCAACTAAAATGTCTTCTAAAATCCACTATTCACTGAAACAGTCATTCTTCTTTTTCTTTTATAAATTTACTTATTTACTATGTACATTATGAATTAAAAATTCTTTTGTGATTTTTTTACATTTATTTTTCAACTATCATGGCCAAAAAGATCTCTTTGAAACTTTAGTTCATATTTACGCCTTGTGATTGTCAATTTTTGTAAATTTTCCTCGAGAATTTCCTCCTTTACCTTTACTTCTCTGACAGGAGCTTTAAAGGTTGATCAAGAAATTTCTAATTTCTGGCGAGTGGGGTTACTCAAGGATCGGTCCTGGGTCTAATTCTATTCTATTTTATCAGTGATACAAATGACAAAATCCGCTGAGACAAACTAATAAATTCATTATGGTTGAAACCAAGGTGTTCAAGTGTGTGTGAAATGGCAATGAATGAGAGACTGTATAAATCATTCTCTTTTGTTCATATTTAAAAGATTTTAACAATTTTATTCAAAACAGCCGTCAATAAAATAAAAAATATCTTATTTTAAGAGAGAAATTACAAATTTTATTTTTCAGAGTATCACAATGTTATCTCAAGGCTTCCAAAAATGATAATAATAACAAATCTTCAACAATAAAAAATAAAAAAATAAAAAATTGAATCTTCATGCCCTTTTTCATCGCCAATACTTATTGCTCTTAAAATAAACAACCCCAGAGTTATACCCGTTCTGAAATGATCTGTAAGTTAAATTTGATTTACAACTCTCCATACTTTGTTACTTATTGTACTTCTCTGACAGGAGTTTTAAAGGTTAATCAAGACATTTCTAATTTCTGGCCAGTGCTCAGTGAAGTTCCTCAAGGTTCGGTCCTGGCTCTAATTCTATTCATCCTTTATATCGGTGATACAAATGACAAAATCCACTGTGAAATCAGTATTTTTGTAGATAATACTAATGCAATATTTTTGAATTCCTTGACTGCAGGATTGCAAATGGGCAATGATAAGATTTCTGTTATTACTTTGAGGTCGTTATTTTAACCCTGACTCTATCTAGGTGGTAAAAACCCTCGTTTAATGTACAAACTTGATGGTAGTTCTTTGTCCCTTACATCATTTCAAAAGGACTTGGTGATAACAATAACAAAAGACTTAAATTGGAATAAACATATGTTGCACATTGTCAAAAAAGGAAGCTTTCTTGCATAGGTCGTGAACAATTAGTGGGAGACTTTTTTAGACATTTTTAATATTCCCTTTGTCATCACACAGAGATTATTTTAATATTCTTCCTTCCAACCATTATTTGAAATCCACTTTTTTTTTTAATATTTGACAATCAGATTATCATTGGTTTTCACATTTTCAACTGCGGGTGGGTGCCAAAACGCTGGTCAGATTATATATGTAATGTATGTTTTTATTTACTTAAAATACTTATATAAATTAATATAGAATAAATCAACATTATAATTGTGATGAATAAAGGAAAATATTGTGAGTATTATTAGAGTGAATGAATATTGCTTTATTTAAAAAAAATCTTTCAAATTTAGGTCATGAAGACTGTGAGTAAATAATTCTCTTTTATTCATATTCAAAAGATTTTAATAATTTTATTCAAAACAACCATCAATAAAATAAAAAATATCTTATTTTAAGGAAAAAATAACAGATTTTACATATCTAACAAATTTTACTTCTCTGAATCTCACAATGTTATCTCAAGGCTTCCAACAATGATAATAATAACAAATCTTCAATAATTTGAAAACAATACTTCGACGTTCATGCCTTTTTATCGCAAATACTCACTGCTCTTAAAACATTACAACCACATAATTATACCCACTCTGAAATAATCTGTAAGTAAAATTTGATTTACAACTCTCCACACTTTGCTTAATATTGTACATAATTTAAACATAAAAAAAGTAAAATAATACAATATCACTCCACTTGATTGCAATCATTTTTGATTAAAATATTGTTTTTATATACTATACAGGAAAATTATTGGTAATACATTTTAATTTACAGTTAAAAAATTAAAATTCCATCTACAAAGTTGGTTGCATTTTCAGTTTGATCTCTACATTTCTCTGTTATTAGAAAATAGAAACTTTAAAAACAAATCGTGCACGTGTAAGCTTTTAAAAATTCTCTAATTTCTGAGACGTATCCTGTGAGCCTTTTATTACTGATTCAGTATTGAATATATGTGAGCTGTTGGCAAATTTATACTTGATGTAATTTATCTTATTTATTTTTAACATTTTGTCCCACAAAATTTTTTTATAGTTGATTTGTTGAAGGATTTATAATTCCTAATAAGGAAACTAAGATTTCTAAGAGTATTATTAGCCCTTTTAAAATCTAATAAAGCAAGGATTGTACATATTTTAATCAATTTCTATTCAAATAATTATAACACTAAGTTTGCAGCAAATAGGGTTTGGAATGATCTGTTCACCCAGGACCTGGTTCAGCTTTCAGCAAAGTTCAAAGTGTTTAACAACATTTGTCGTTCCATCTTGTGCCATGCTTGCCAGATCTGGGGGTTCCAGAGGTGATAGAAACAGTTCAGAGGTTTTAAAAAATTCTTCTCTCTCCCATCCCTGATACTGGCACATATGCTGTTGTCAAAGACTGGGGTTGACCTACTATTTATTTTTACCTTAAAGCTCTACTTCTCATTGGTTTTCAAACCTTGTCATCCTCGCCTCTATTCAAAATTACAGCTACAGCAGCAATAAACACGAATTGCTATTGATTTTCAAAATGGAACATATTGGCTCATGATTATAGTTTCACGTTTACAAATGAAAATATAAATGACTGGCCAGGACTATCTGAAATCGTTCTAAGTTGAATTAGGGAAGTTCATCATTGAGAGTTGCATAAGGAAAGCTTCCCTGTCCATCTGTTTCCTTCTTTATAATGATTTTGATCATTTATTTTGTTTCTTCAATCCTCTGTATGAACGAGCAAACCTTTTCTGCCTCTCTGAGCTGCGATGGATTCTAAAAATGTATTGCGAACAAATATTCCTGGATATTTAATGCTAATGGACTGTGTTCTTTAAACAATGAAAGGTTTAAAGTATATATTGATGTATTGGATCTTCTTGAGGTCAATTTATTTTAAAATGACCTCAAGAAGATCCAATACATCAATTTAAACTACGGAGGTCGATCAATATCAACTAGAATTCTTTAAAGTATATACTTTTTACTTTGTGGCTGAGTGCTCAGTTTTATTGGAAAATCATCTTTTGAATTTAGATGCCCCTAATCTTTCTCATGTTTCATCTATCCAAATCCTGATTGAAAATAAACTGCAAACCCCTTTCATGCTGTGCACGANGCGTATATTTTAATCGTTCACGTTTCAGTGGATTGAGCGTCGGATTTTACTACATTCGAGGCGTCTTTGAAATGTAATTAAGAAAAGAGGAGGAAATATGCAATATTGAAATGTTAAATAAAAATCTAAAACAAATTTTATCTGTCCGTCTTTTTTAAGTTTCCTTAGCATTTTACATTTTTTTATATTTTTTCTTTTTTTCTTTTTTAGACAAAGGCTCAATTATTAAACGTTAAAAACGTGAAACTTTGATTAATAGATAAAAATACATATAAATCAATTTATATTACAAGTGGGTAGAATTTTTTGCTTGTCAATGTATATGTACATGTAATGGGGCTTAACGCCCTATTTGTACTTTTTAAATAAATATAGAGAATGGATTTTCTGTAAAAGTTATATGTGAGTGTGAAAAATTCAAATAAAGCGGGAAATAAGTGAAGTGTTACGGTACGTAACTCAATGCCACGTTGATATGTCGGCAGCAGGGACCTTCTACGTTGGACTACGACCCGTAAGTTTCCACCGTGCATCTGTTACGGCCGTCCCCATTTTCTTCCGGTGTCGTGTGGAGGTTCGTAGTGACAAGTCGGCCTAGAAAAACCTCTCATCGCCCCGTTTCGTCGTACGCCAAGGGATTTTAGGGGTGAGTATCAATCTTGAACTACGGCCCGAAGCTCGTCACTTCCCCGGCGCCGTCGCCCTTTTCCGCACCGTAGTGATTTTTCCCTTTATCAAAGGGCGACTAGTTTCGACGTTTCACCTATTCGCAACTGACGTTTCCCTTATTTTCACTCACGACGCTCCGTATCCCCTGGATCGTAGAGACATCTTCCGCCGCGATACCCCGTCAAAATAATTGCCAACCTTTAAACACCGCCCTTTCGTGAAAGACACGACTAATTGGATTATTTTAAATTCCCGTTTGTTAATTTAATTAGGCCCCTTGTAAATATCCGGTTACGTCCTTCTAGAATCAAAATTGCCCTATGTACAAGCCGACGCTTGTCAAACGAGGCCCTAACAAATCTGCCGAGTCATCTTCAGCGAGAATTAATTTTGATTTTTTTTTCGTTTCCATTTCAGAAATTATAATGTTCATTTGGGACTGGTTCACAGGAGTTCTGGGCTACTTGGGTAAGCATTATTTATAAATATTTTACTAAATATTTTACCGAAAATCAGTTGATAATGAAAAGTGAGAAGTTTAGAAATTTAGTAATTTCTTTGACATGATTTCAATAATACCTTGAATACAGGGTACATGTACATTGATTAATTCATCATCATAATCATTAATTATCAGACCTGATAAAAATCATGTGCTTCAAGTCAAGAGCATCTAATTTATCAGTTTAAATCCTAATTTATAAAAAAAATTGCAAAACCAACAGAAATCATGAGTGCTTCAGTGTGAAAAGTCAGAATAGGATTATTTATTTTTTTACATAAAAACGAGCAGTTACAATCAGTAAAAGTAATAAAAATGATTGAGGGTCATGATCCTAACTATCCATAATTTGTAAAAACAACAGAAATCATGAGTGCTTCTCCGTGAAAAGTCAGAACAGGTTTTTTTTTTAAATTTCTATTTATTTTTAAAATGTAAAAACGAGCAGTTACAATCAGTAAAAGTAATAAAAATGATTGATTGATGTTCATGATTCCAATTAATTTTGCACCATTGTGCATGATCATAAAAGTTTATCATAAAATAAATCATAAAAGTGAAAAGTCTGAACAAGTTTTTTTTTTTATAAATTAATTAATTTTTTTAAACATAAAAACGAGCAGTTACAATCAGTAAAAGTAATAAAAATGATTGATTGCTGTTCATGATCCCTTTAATTCAGCATCATCATGCATAATCATAAATTGGTAAACCCAACAGAAATCATGAGTGCTTCTTTGTGAAAAGTCAGAACGGGTTTATTTTTATTTATTAATTTTTTTAATATAAAAACGAACAGTTATAATCAATAAAACTAATTTCTTTGGCGGTATTTCAATAATACCATTAATACACAGTACCATGTACGTTAATTATCATCTTAATCATAAATTATCAGGCCTTAAAAATGATGAGTGCTTCTTTGTAAAAACTAAGTAGTCAAGAAATTCTAATTTATCAGCTTAAATCCAAATTTGTCAAAAATTTGTAAAACCAGCAGAAATCATCATGAGTGATTCATTGTGAAAAGACAGAACAGGTTTATTATATTTATTTTTTAACATAAAAACGAGCAGTTACATTTAATAAAAGTAATAAAAATGCATATTTGCTTAGTGATCATAATTGACCATATTAATTATTCCAATTAATTATACTTTTTATCTAAGATTTTTGGTTGAGATGAAAAATTAGTGTCACGAGCAGAGCAATAAAAATGATTGATCTTCACGATCCTAATTAATTTAGTGTCATCACGCATAATCATAAATTTGTAAAACTAAAACCAATAGAAATCATGAGTGCTTCTTTGTAAAAAGTCAGAACAGGTTTATTTTATTTTATTTTTTTTTAAATATAAAAACGAGTAGTTATAATCAGAAAAAGTAATAAAAATGATTGAGGTTCATGATCCTGATTAATTTGGCATCATGATGCTTAATCATAAATTGGTAAACCCAACAGAAATCATGAGTGCTTCTTTGTGAAAAGTCAGAATGGGTTTATTTTTATTTATTTATTTATTTTTTAAATGTAAAAACGAGCAGTTACAATCAGTAAAAGTAATAAGAATGATTGATAGATGTTCATGATTCCAATTAATTTTGCACCATTGTGCATGATCATAAAATAAATAAAAAAAGTGAAAAGTGTGAATTGTTTTTTTTTAAACATAAAAACGAGCAGTTACAATCAGTTAAAGTAATAAAAATGATTGATTGATGTTCTGATTTTAATTAATTTAGCATCATCATGCATAATCATAAATTGGCAAACCCATCAGAAATCACGAGTGTTTTATCGATAAAAGTAAAGCAGTGGATTTATTTATTTTTTCAATGGAAAAATGAGAAGTTACAATCAGCAAAAGTAATAATAATTATAGATGTTCATGATGGTTATGAATGATTGATTTATAATCACAATCCTCATAAAATTCATGAATCCTTCATTGTGAAAAGTTGAGATGTCAAGAAGTTTTTTTTTAATTTAATATAAAAACCAGGAATAACTATAAAAGAAACAAAAGTTACTTATGTATGATTAACTCCTAATTTATTGATACATCATCATAAATTTGCAAACCCAACAAAAACCATGAGTGCTTCATTCTGAAGTTAATAGGTTTATTTTATTTCATGTTTTAATGTAAAAAAAAGAAAAAAAAGAGCTGTTACAATTGGTAGAACAGGCAAAAATGTTTGATGCTCATGATGATTATGAATTGATCATTTGTAATCATAATCCTAATAAAACTTTTGAGTTTATGATTGTGAAATCAGAACATATTTATTTATTTAATTTATTTTTTTACTTTTTTCAGTTAGAATCAGTAAAAGTAATAATAAACCTTCTAAATAATCATTAATTAATGGTCACTAAATACTACACACGAAATAATAAACAGATGTTCAATTATAGATGTATCTGTGTTGCATAATCATAAATGGGTAAAACAAACATAAATCATGAGTGTTTCATTGTTAAAAGTGTTAAACAATTTTTCTTTTTTTCAATGGAAAAAAGAGAAAATATAAAAATGCTTGATGTTCATGATGATTATAAATAATTTCAGAAAAAATTATCTCTAAAAGGAATAAAATTTACTGAAGTAGGGATTAAATCCAAATTAATTGATGCATCATCATAGGTTTGCAAATTTTTCTTTCTTTATTGTTTTTTGATGTAAAAACGAGCATATACAATCAATAAAAGTAATTGAGTCTTCATCATAAATTTGCAAACCCAACGAAAATCAAAAGTGTCTCATTGTTANATTATTTTTTGATGTAAAAACGAGCATATACAATCAATAAAAGTAATTGAGTCTTCATCATAAATTTGCAAACCCAACGAAAATCAAATTGTCTCATTGTTAAAAATCAGAAAAGGTTTATTTTTTTTTTTAAATGTAAAAATGAGCAGTTTTACAATCATCAAAAGTAATTTATTTCACTAATGAGTAATACATTTGTTTGATAAATGTTCATAAATTAGTAATGAGAAAAAATGTGTGCTCCATTGTCAAAAGTGAGATAGAAATTTTTATTTTATTTTAATATAAAAACTGACAATTACTGTCAGTAAAACATATATCAAATAATTATAATAAATTAATAAAATAAATAATTAAAAGAATTACTATCAATAAAACAAAATTTACTACTGTACAGATTAAATCCTAATTGATTGATTCATCATCATAAATTTGCAAAAACAACAAAAATCATGAATATTTCATTGTGAAAGGTGATGGTTTTCGTTTTGTTTGCATATTTATGATGATGTATTGATCAGTTAGTATTTAATCTGTACACAGTAAATTTTGTTTGTTGTATCGATAGTAATTTTTTTAACTTAAGTAATTTTTTTAAATGTAAAAATGAGTAGTAATAGTAGCATGTACTAAGTAAAAATAATTTATTCAACTGATGTATTAATCATTAATTAATATAATCATTCATTAAAACTATTAAAACTTCATTCATGAGTAATATAAGCGAAAAGTTACAAAACTGTCTTACTCATAAAAAATGAGTAATCATTAGCAGTAAAACCCACAAAAATTTATCAATCAATTGAAAAAAGGAAAAGTGCTGACCTTTTCTTCACCTTCTAGCTATTTTTTTTAAATTTTTTTATTATTTTTTAGCAAGATTAATTAATTGGCAAAACAAAATCATGAAAGCTTCAAGCTTGTCTAAGCATTACTATAACACATTAGTTAGTTCTAATAATAAATTAATGATATTCAGTAAAATAAATAAAATTTACCTGTATTAAAAAAAAAAAATTAAAATTAGCCTTTACATACTATTCTCGTCAGTTTGGTGAGTCAGATGTGTTTCGATATTTTTGCCATCCTGCTTTTACAGAATGAAAATGAGTCTTGACAGACCAAACCGGTGGGAATAGGCAACCAGGGTGATCGGGAGCGACTACAGTAAATTTGATTGCTTGCACATGTCATCTCACAGACCTCAAGAAAAATTATTATTAAAAAAATTTTTAAAGGATAAATGCGGAATTCATATTTTATTTGGCCCATACTTTTTCTCAGAAATCATTCATTTCATTGTAACGATTCACAATTCACTCATCAATGCATAATCACAATTTTTAGTAAAGGGCATCTGTTGTATTCTGATTTCTTTAATTAAAGTTTTTCAAAGCGTTCAGAATTAGACTCATAAATAAAAATAATCCCTAGAGATTTTTAAAGTTTCATTTTAAAAATTAATAAATAAATTACAGATCGGTGTAAGTAAAATCAAAATGATAAAATTTCACCTTGAAACTTTTCGACAAGTGCTGACCTATTTTCCTTTTTGGTTGGCCTCTTGCTATTCTGATAAATCCAACTATCAGCTAATCTATAAATCTATTTTGTCTATTATTTTTAGGTACATAATAATTAATGAAAGCTAAAAATCATGAGTGGTTAATTAATTTTTTGTTGTGATAAGTACTGTGAAGTTTTAGCCTATTTAGTCAGTAATTAATTATTTGGAATCGGTTAATTTGCAAAAATAAAAACTATTAATCATACAGGTTTAATTGTAAAACATAAATGCTTAAACAAAATTATTTTCCTAGGCAATTGTACTTTCTTAAGTTTATATCAGTTCTTGATTTATAAATTAATACTTTCTTAATTATCATAACGTGATGATATATCAAATGTAGATCACGTCCTATGCATATGATTTTCCTTGCAAGACAAGCAGGTTAAAATTTACCCTTGAACGATTTTTTAAGAAGAATATAGAACAAGTTTTTTTATGTCTTTGAATTATCGTCTTCTGTTAATTAGTTACTATTATTAAGACGTTATTCTTAAGATTTATTCAATTTATATTAATGGTAATTTTATTTTAAAAAAAAAAAAAAAAATCACTTGCAGTTGCAGGATTATCTCTTAATTCTTCTAGAGAAAATTTTCGTGTACAGATTAAAATGCAGGATGCAGTTCATGACAAAAATGTCAATTTGTAATAAATAAAGGAAATGTTCATTATGAAGAAGGTTTTTTAAATTAAGTTTTGTTGAGTAGTTTGAGTGAACTTAGCTCAAATTGCATATCTTATTTTTATAATAAATAATATATAAAATAATGTATGAAAATTCATTCCATTCTTTCAAATTCTAATCTTTTTTAGGAAATTATAAGAAAGATTATGGCGGTAATAATTATAATAATCAGGTTTTTTTAAAATTTTTATTCTTTTTAAACAAGGATAAGGTTCTCGTAAGCCATTCTGGCCACAAATTTATTTAATTTGAAAAGGCGATGCCAAAGGATGAAAGTGGATTTCTTTAAAAATTTAAAATTCTTAATTATTCAGGCAGATTTGACCGATGCGGCTTTGATGTCTGCCATAAAAATATGAAATTGTTTATTGTCTTTTTAGGCGACTTTGATGCTTTTCATCACATGATAAATTTTAAATAACTTCTTATCGCTGCTGTTTTATTACTTGATGATTGTTCCTCAAGGATAATTGGTTTAAATTTTAAGTGAAAACAAACAAGATTCATTTCCTATTTTTGAGATGTTTTACTGCAGTTTGATATCGTATCTGCTAATCTTAAGTCTATGATGACTTATGAAATATCTCAACTGACTCAAGAAATGTGAAAGATAGTATGATCCATAGCGACAAAACAATATTGTTATCTAATGTGCTTTTTTCTATTTGTCATTTTATTTAAACTGGAAAAAAAATATTAATTGCTTAAACTGATGTGTTCTAGTGTTAATCTACTATACATTATTACTTCAGATAGCTTTTTACAATTAATTTAAGCAGAATGATAAATTAAAAATGTAACTTCAAATTTTAAGTTTACAATATAGTTAATAAATGTTATCTAGTTATTTAATTTAATGATTGATATTTTTTCTAATTTTTTTCTCTTCTCTCCAGGCTTATGGAAAAAATCGGGGAAATTATTGTTCCTCGGTCTTGACAATGCCGGTAAAACTACACTTCTACATAGACTGAAGGATGACAGGCTTGCCCAGCACGTGCCAACACTTCACCCAAGTAAGTGACGTATCTCTTTAAAAAATATATTATTTTTTGTTGTTGTAAACCGTCAAATTGGTTCCCAATCGGCACGGTATGGAATTGTGCCAGGTTTCAATCCCGGGATTTCTTAGCATTCCCAGGTGATTTCTATGAATAGATTGCCTTCGCGTGATATTGAAAATATTTATATTTTTATATATATTTATAATTGATTTTTAATCTTTAAAATTTTTGTTTTATCATAAGCTTTTTGTTTACCAATTTAAATTGTCAACAAATAGTTAAGATTATATTTTTAATATGTTGTTGTAGGATTTCCCCTTTATATAATGAATTAAAAATCTCATTTGATAAAAAATAAACAATAAATGCTTAATAATTATTTACACCTAAATATTGTAAACTTTTTCTTACTTTTAGCATCAGAAGAATTGTCCATTGGAAATATTAGATTCACTACTTTTGACCTTGGTGGCCATACTCAAGGTTTGTAATTTTGTTTAATAATTTAATGACATGTTCATCAATATATAATTATAGTAATAACAATTAACCGGTTGGTGTTATTATTTCAGCAAGGAGAGTCTGGAAAGACTATTTTCCAGCTGTCGATGCCATTGTGTTTTTGGTGGACGCTTGCGACAGAGTCCGTCTCCCAGAGAGCAAAGCAGAGCTTAATGCCCTGCTAACTGATGAATCGCTTATGAATTGTCCTGTACTCGTTCTTGGAAATAAAATCGACCTCCCTGGGGCAGCATCGGAAGACGAGCTGAGAAACTTTCTCAACCTTTTCGGACAGACAACTGGCAAGGTTGGTTCGGAAATTCGTAAAAGGTCCAGCTTAAGAAATATTGACACGTTTCGTCTATTGCAGAGCAAAGTTCCACGAAGTGAATTGCCCGGACGTCCTTTAGAATTATTTATGTGCTCTGTGCTCAAAAGGCAAGGTTATGGCGAAGGTTTCCGTTGGCTAGCACAGTATATCGACTGATCAAGTAAGTTTTACGAAAGAAACCCTCATGTCAAAAGAGGCAATTAAATGGTTGAATAAGCCATTGTGTATTTATTAAATTTTGTTAATCGTCATTCATCACATTTCTTTTAAAGAAAAAAAGGTTCAGATTACATAAGAGATTGAAAGTTAAGCTTATTTATCAGAATAAGAAATAAATAAAAAACTAAATAGGTCAAAAGTAAAATATGTCACTTTTAAATAATGCTTCTTTTTCATGCAAATTTCATGATTTTCTGCATTATTCATTGATTTTATCTTTGACTTTTTAAATAATATAATTTTTAATAATATAACTAGTTTAGTTAAGTAGTTTGCAAACATTTGTACCCCGAGAAACTTTGCTTTTTTTGAGAACTGGATGTGGTGCAAATCTCTTAGATGTTCATCAAAAACTCGACACAAATTTAAGTTCTGCATCTCATTCGCTGAAAATCTTTGTAGGTGTCGACCCGGCTTAAGAAGCAACGTCCATAATGTAGTTAGAATTGGTCACGTTTATGGTTTGGGATTCAATTTTCAGCATTCAAAAAAAAAAAAAGTCTGACCTGTTTTCCATTACACCCAAGGTATAAATGTTACAGGCCAAAATTGTCCAACAAAAGTATTGCCCGTCGCTCTTGAACAAATACCATAAATTATGTGCATGGGGCAAAATCATGCCTAAATTCTGGCATAATTGAATAGATTTCAGAAATATTATAACAGTAAAAAAAAAAAAAAAAATTGTAGATGATTTCAATGTTTGAATTTTCTTTTCTTTTCCAGTTCCAACCTACCCATCGTTTACAATTGCAGTTTTTGCAAAAGGCAACATCCGATCGGCATCTAATAAAAAGGGCCCTCCAACATTAAATCATTGTCGTATTCATCTTACTGGTCTGCTGCCTTAACAACATCAGCCACTATCCTCTATCAAAAGTGATGATCAATATTCAATTAAAGTCTCCCGAGACTGCCTGTAATACTCACACACACAAAATAATACGGACTTGTTGAATTTTGTGTTTCTAAATGAAATTACAGGATTTAAAACAAACATAGTTCAAAATATGTGTCTTTTTTGTATTGTCATTGCAGATGCTAAATAGAAACCAGTGATTGTTTTTGACCTGTTATCTGATTGTATTTTCCATATAATTTTTTTCCTGTTGTCTTATTAAATATCCAGTTTTAAAGTGTTAGAAAATGTGAGGTAACAAAGGGAACACTGGTGCTTTTAGAGAGAAAAAAAACATAATTTATAACCAATTTAAAATAATAGTTTAATTTTTTTATTATGTATAGTTTTGGAATTTATTGTTAAATTTTGTTATCTAAAATATAAATTCAATTAATTAAAACGAAAAAATATGCATTTGTTTGCATTAAAAAAATTATTCAAGGTGTAAATACTTTGAAGAATCACAAAAATATTTCTTAGGTACAGGTAGACCATCCATTTTTTTGAGAAAAAATTTTGTCCTCCCACTAGTCTTATATAAAATAAATATTTAACTTTTCTATAGAAAAAATAAAATTACTGGTTTAGTAGAGCGGGAGAGTCCTTATTTTTTTTTTTTTAAACCACGATTCATTGCAAGGTTATTTGTGTTGTTTGCTAAAAAACATTATAGCTGTTTAATTGTAATTGCCTCCTTTAATGTATCTCTTGGCAAGTTTTATAAAATTGTGCAGCTGACTATGGATTCCTAATTTATGAATAAACTTTGTTTATCTTTTTTTATCTACCTCCCCCCTTAATTTTCTCCAGAAAAGAGTAGTAAACGTAATCGGCTTTTTAGTATGTGCAAACTTACCTTTAGCTCAATCATTTTTTATTTTGCGCTGTGCAATTTTGGACAGTTTTAACGCCAAATATATGAACCTTTATTGGATTTTTAGTCAGGAAGAAAGAGATAATTTTGAACGTGTACATATTTTCTGTCAGATGAGGCGAGTTTATCCTTAGTTGGTTTGACTAGTTGAATGGATGGGTGTGCAGCCGTGTAGCAAATGATTGGAAATTACCTGAACCCCTCACACCTAAGAAAACTCATCAACCCTGGCAGGTGGCAGTAGGCTGGTAGGCTCAACTCAAAAGACACAACTCATCATTTGTCCTTTTATACCAGCTGCTAGGTAAATCTACTGAGGTCAAAATAGAAAGTGTTGCTTTTTCAAGTTTCAATGTTGAACAATTCATTAAGGAAACCGATGATATGGAACTTGAGGTGAGGAATATACTGCCCTGCTATGAAGAAATCTCTTATCTCCAAATTTTTTGACTTTCTTTTTTTTTCTTTACCATTGCATTCTTAGATACGTTTCCTATTGAAAAACATGACAAAATCTACATAAATCGATCTACAAATATTAAAAATATCAATGGATTGTATGTAGTATAAAATGTTTTGGAAAAATACTAATAAAAAAAACCCATATTTCTGAAATTTTACCATGTCTTAATAAAAACTGCTTGTATTATTAGATGCACTACTAACATTATTTTCCACTTGTTTTTATGACATGAAAACATTCATTATGCATTAATTTACGATTGCATTGTAAAAATTATATAAAAAACAAGTTGGTGGCCGCAACAGTTTAAGCGTTGATATGGCACTCATCACTTGTAAGGTAAAAGTCCCAGGTTCGAATCCAGCAAATTTTTTTTTTCAAGAACACGCACCCTGAGGGTTCATATAACCTCATAGTTGAAAAACCCTTGTTAAAAACAAATCCCTAAGCACTTTCAGATATGTTATTTTTCGTAACTGATATCACAAATCGTGTCTAGTAAAATTTAACATAACCTTCTTTGATTAAAAGAACACAAAATTAGAATGAATCAATAAATAAGTTATAAAATAAAAACTTTCAGGATTATAAAAAAGTAGGCCAAAGTCTAAAAATATGGCTACTTAACTGAGGCTATTCAGTATGGAAAACTTAGAAGCTCAATTTCTCAAAACAGTAAATACAGTGTTTCTTCTAAGCAGGGCAATATAGCGACAAAATTAAAAGGAGTGAAGCCATACTTTTTTCGACTAGGTTTCCTCCATTTTGCTTCTTTCTTGTAGAAAAGCAAGTACAAGGAGTTCTGTGTACTTGGGTTCTAAAATTGTACTTACCTTTGGAAGAGAAGTTGATCCCACAAGTAGCTTGGTGTGAATTCAATCAGGAAAAATCATGGCATTCAATTAGACATCTTACTAGGACGACCAGGTTGGTGTGTCTCTGATTTGGACCAAACTTTTTTTGAGATTCTACACTCCAAAATATCGGACATGTATTTGCCACTTGTAAATAGGCCCTGGTTTTGCCTTTTTTTTTTTTTTTTGAAAGTTGAAATTTTCTGTTTTTTAATATTTTTATTTCGTAGTTCTACTGCATTTTTTTTAATTAGATTGCAATACAAATATAGTAAACGCTATCAAAGTTTATTAATAACCAAAAATGTTTAAAAACCAAATATTTTTCAAGTAAAGTAGGTCATAAAATATTTTTCTCATCAACTAATTTGAAATTTGCACCTCTAGAGACCCCTAAATATAAATTTATGTTTGAAATTGTCAATTTTTTGACCCATACAATTTTTAACAAGTTGCTATCGGATTATCTGATTGAAACGGCTATTATTGAAAAATAGCTAAAAGGATTTGTCTTCAGTCGTAAAATCCCTAAATACTTTCTTTCGCGGAAATCGGTATAAATTAATTTTTTGGTTGATAATTTTGATGACCTGCATTGACATTTTTCCTACTGCAACATCATTTTTCTCAAAATCTAGGGGACCAATTTTCATAGTTGATAATTAATTTTCCCTGATTTGTGTATGTTCTTATAAAAATTTTGTATGTATTTTTATGGTACTTACGTCATAAAAAAGCTATGTTCCTCTTCTTTCAATTGGTATGTTTGACGTTAAAATCTTTTTAGCTGTTGTTGAATTATAGTCAGTTTATCAGATATTCCAAAAACAAGTTCTTAAAAATCAGAAAAATTTTAAGAATAAAAAAATTTATAAATTTAAATTCAAACAATTTATATTCAGGGGTCTCTACAATGCTAAAACGAAATTTCAAATTAGTTTTACGAAAAAAATTTATTACTTAAAAAATCTTTGGTTACTGATAAACTTTGATAGCTTGTATTATATTTTTATCGCAGTCTCCCTAAAAAAAACGTATATTGACATAGTTGATTTGTGCAAGTAGAACTGTGAAATAATTTTNAGGCCATGATTTGTCTTCAGTCTAAAAATAGTAGAATAGAACTCCTTTGACATTCCTTCTGGGCTATCGCCTTCTGAAAACCATGGTTTTTTCTTGAGCTCAGGGAACAGTGATCTGTAATAATTGCCAACATTTGTTGCGTTGTATTTTTCTTGCTACAGATTTCTACAAAACTTCCAAAAAGTTTTTCCCGTCTTTAGGAATTTTAATGTCAAGGGTTGGACCTGATGTTGCAGCCTCCTTTGCAAGTGCGTCCACCGTTTCATTTTGCCATAAGCCTGCATGCCCTTTCAATAAAAATGTTAAAACACAGAAAATTTTAACTTAAAAAAAAAAAAAAAATTGCGCGAAAGCTGGGCCTGTTCACAAGAAGTGGTGAATACATGTTCGATATTTTCGAGTGTAGAACCACCAAAAAACATTTGGTGCAATTCCGTGGTTGACCTGGTCGTCCCCTTGTTAGTTGAATTAATCAAACTGGCTTATCTGAAAGAGGCCTAAAAGAAGTAGTCCATATACATAAAAATATTTAATATATTTACAGCAGTATAAACAATTGATAATACCACATACAATATTACATACAGATTGAATACTATTTATACAGTGTTAAAAAAAAAAGAAAAATTAAAAACTTTTGTACATATAAATAATACAAATTAGGCGACTTGAACAGGAAAGAATTACTTTAAGTTACAATTTTTATTTGGAAAATAAGTAGATACTATAACATCTGGAAATGTACAGATGCAACCTCAGATTTTGTCAATTTTTGATGTGATTGATGTTTACAGGTAACATCTAATTGAAAGATGCACAAATAAAAAATGTCCATTGTCTCTACCGCCCAAGCATATTGGCAGAGTTCAAGCACTGTTGTGTACATGGTATAACTGATGCGATAAGCAGAAAAATAAAACTAGCACGGCAAATTAGCTGACTAAAGACATAATAAATAAATGGAGTTTAATGAAAAAATATTTTATTTCGATCTGAATAAAATAAGAGATCTTGTTTTTAAGTACCGATTGTTCCAGTCAGAAAGAACTTACTTCCAAAGTTTTCTTTTAAATGGAATCTTGTTATGTGTTGATAAATTACTATTTACACCCTGGAGAAGTTTTATAAATTTATATTTATTTACTGGAAAACTTGGTTAGTAATTAGTTTTTGATATTTGAATCCTAGAAAAATTACAAATTTTGAGATTTTCTCTTGTGGTCTGCAGGGTGATGAACCTGTAATTTGATCTTAGACTTCTTATGCTCGCTGGATTGTTCTGGCAGATATGTTTCATTTTCAGTACTTCTCAGAATCTAGCAGAGACAACCGAACATGGTGAAACAACTGTGTACATACCAACCTAGCGAGGGTAGGCAGACCAAAATGATCATTAAGGATCAAATTACAATTACAAATAACTCGTTGATTTCAATAAGTCCCAAGTTTCTGTTTAATGATTTAAATAGTTGGTTAAGGACTTTATCTTTTGTCTGGGTTATTTTGTGTTTTATTTCGCATTACAAAAAATTTATATTTTGTTATAGTTATATATTAAAGGTAGTTACAATTTTATTCCCTTAAGATTTCATATTTTAAGTTATTTTATTGAAAATATTTTAAGTGTCTTGAGTAGAAATTAAATTGATTGTATTTGTTTGACTTAAGTTTTTTTTTTATGTTAGAAATCATCAGAATCGTTAAACTTTCGATAAGGCTGAGTCGTTTGTAAAATTTTTGAGTTCGATTGTGTTCAAATAACACTGCGAGTTGTGATTTTGTACATAATTGTGAGAGTAGCGTTCTTTTCCAATGGAAGTCGTGAAGTTAAACGAACTGGACCTCCTTGCCAACCTCCAGCTTCTCTGCAGTACGTACCTCTTAGGGCAGAGCAACTTGAAAAGTTCCTGCCTCATCCTCGGGTGGTTCAGGGAGTAGACGAACGGGTTCGTGCATGCTGCAGTTTTGCAAAATACCGCCGGTATCATAGATACCAGAGGGGTTATGAAACGTTTTTGACCGAATATACCAAGTAGGGCCACTATGGCGTAGGGAGTCCACGCCACGAACCACATGGCTATGACCAAAATCACAACAAGGGTCAGTTTAATCTCCCTTTTTCTAATCTCTTTCTCCTGGCCTTGTCTTTTCATACCGACCAAACACACGGCCCGGCCGATCCCGGCGTAACTGAAAACTATGACCGAGAACGGTACGCACCACGCTCCTACAAAAAACGTGAAAATGAATGTGCGATTCGCAGAGGTCTCGCTTAAATAGTCGAAACTGCAAGCCGTAAGATACCCCTCGGGTACATACTTACTAATCCCCCTAATCGTAAGTGGCAAACTCGCGAAAATAGACGAGTAAGTCCATATCATCAAAATCCAAACGAGCGCTCGCAATTTTGTTATTTTATGCGCAGGGTCTAAGGGATAAGCGATAACATAATATCTATCGAGTGCCACCGCGGCCAGAGTCATTATCGACGCAGTTCCAGTAAGACCGCCCAAGAAGCCGTACACTTGACATCCTGAAACATTAAATCAAATATTTCGATTAAAAATGTAGTAACCAAAAAGTCAGGTGATATGAGATTTACTAGAGAGCTCAGATTGAAAAGCCTCGTAAGCTCCTTGAGTCCAAAGGATGCTTCAATTTAATGAAGTACGCTTGAATTAATGAACTGCGATGAATATAAAAGTCTTATTAAAAAGCGGCCTTTGTACTTTTGTCTTATCACAAAACAATTAACAAAAATTGGTTGATTAAAAGGAAAGAAAGACAGGTTAGTAATAAATTAGTGTAAATTGGAAACGGTTAATATCAAATCATTACACCTGGCGATCAGTCATTACAGTTAAGAACTTGTCCGGCTGTAAACCTGAGGATTTAAAGTTTTTGATAGTAAAGTGGGAAGTTTATGGGCAGACAATCAGATGAGGTCATCGCCGGCCCTCTGCGTGTTTTCTTTCTTTTTCTCTTCTTTCACGCGTATTTCGTTTTAAACTACATTTGAGCGTCATGGCTGGACTTGACTGGCTTCTGACTCTACTTTTAAATGTGTACCACGTTGATATCCTAAAAATGCTACCCTCTCGTTTGTACCTCAGGTTGTCAAATATAGAATAGAAAAACAAAAACAAAAAAAACTACGTTTATATACATCACCACAAACATGTCTGAGACATTCATTCCCCCAGAGTACTCGGTATTACTCGGGGCGGGGTTGAACCCACTTCATTCTTGCTAATAATTTACTTTTACTCTTCACATATCACACACCCCAGAGTACTCGATAAACCTCGGGGTTATAAGCAACCCCTTCCTTTCACGCTAATAAATTACATTCATTCCAACAAATTAACACAACTCTCGATAGAAACATAGAAGTGTGGTCACATTCACTCCCTCAGGGTACTAGGTGTTCCACGGAGTGGGGTTGAACCCACTCCATTCTTGCTAATAACTTACTTTTACTCTCCATATGTTACACACTCACCCCAAAGTACTCGATATTCCTCGGGGTTATAAGCAACCTCTTCCTTTCACGCTAATAAATTACATTCATTCTATCAAATTAACACAACTCTCGATAGAAACATAGAAGTCTGGTCACATTCACTCCCCCAGAGTACTCGGTATTCCTCGGAGTGGGGTTGAACCCACTCATTCTCGCTAATAACTAATTTTTGCTCTCTAGACGACACGAATTCACCCAGAGTACTCGGGCGGGGTTATAAGCAATCCCTTCTTTAGTGCCTGGGAGTTTTGGTGGCCCTGAATAGGGCCGGTGTTGTTTCGTAGCGTCGAGACGTTAAATCGAGGCCGGGACCGTGTGTGTGCCGTTGGTAGTGGTCCGTGACCGAGAGAACCGTTGTCTGAGGTCCGGGGGCCGTGAGTCGGTTGACTCCGCAGCGGTTGAAGGGACTCGGGTGCAGCAATTAGCAGAGTGCAGCAGTTGGCCATTTTAACCAAGTCGGCTATGTTGAGAAAGCGAGACCCAGGCTAATGCTGCGAGTACCCTTGCTGCCGTCGTTGTCGATGTCGGTGCGTCATTAGTGGGTTGCAAGAGCTCGTTGGGTCGAGTCTCCGACGAGTCTGAAATCAGCGGTGCAGTGCCCATGTTTACATTAGGGCTTTACTCCGATTGCTGCAGAGTGGAGGGCAAGAACATTCCATAATCGGTAGTGGCACCTAGCTGGTAACGTGGTAACTACAGGTGGCCACAACACCTTCCTTTCACGCTAATAAATTACATTCATTCCAACAAATCAACACAAACACGGCACTTATTGAAACAGAAGTCTGGACACATTCACTGTCTCAGAGTACTCGATATTGCTCGGTGCAGGGTTAAATAACCCCTTCCTTTCACGCTAATAAATTACATTCATTAACATAGAGTCAACACAGACACAACACAAACACACATAAAAACACTACATACATTTAAAAATCCCTATAGACTTGAGGTACTGGAACAGCGATTTTTGCGGTACCTAGACCAAGCACAGGTCCGATGATATGCCGAAAGATTGTCTATATTCGTCAAGCCTTCTTCAATTGAAAAGGTGCTCGACGGTATTCTATCCTTGCATAACGGGCACGTGATCGCTTTCCGGCCAGAAGGTGACCGCGCGTTATTCTTGTATGCCCTATGCGTAGCCTTGTCAGTATGACCTTTTCCCTTTAAGAACCGTTCTCCGTCGACCAGGGACCGACGTTTTTCTTAATCTGTCACGGTTTAGCAGGTTATTTCTATTTCTACGAGCCCAGCAGTTTTTCCATTCTTTTTTTACTGAATTTGAAATGTTCGTTTTCGATCAAACTGTACGGTTAATCATTTTTAATCTGTGAAAAATGAATCTATCAAAAAAATTTGGCTTTCTCAAAATTATCAAGCAAGTATTGCAAGGAATCAACCAAATTTATAAACTCTTATTACCTGTCGATCCGAGTGCGGGCCCGAAGTATAAACTGTTGTATACGAAGACCGGAGCTTTTGTCATCATCAGGAAGTCGCTCAGCGCCAGGTTCATAATCAGGATGTTCGAAGGCGTCCTCAAAGGCCTGAAACTTAAGATGAACCGGGTTAGTTGTCTATCAATCAGTTACGAAATTGGTCCTCGAAGCTTGATCACTTTACTGGGGCCGTCAATGAAGATGGCGTGAAGACGATACACATTTGAGTGAATCTAAACGGGAAAGAGTGATCAAATGTCGAACAGTTGAACATCTGATTGAATCTGCTGACGCAATTTCGTCTGGCAGAAGTTAAGTTTTCAGATTGTTACTGTCTTTCCAAGACAAGGGCTTAAATTGTGAGATATTTTATTTTACAAACTAAAGATTTACAATTTAAGCTAGTAAATAAGCTAAAAAAAGCTCTCATAGGAATAAAAAGACCTTTAATAGAATTAACAACTTCCTTTTTTTCGAACTTCACTGGTTTTTTAAAATCTGTAAACTGTGGCTTCAAAAAGATGCCACTGTTGAAAGATGTCACCTTAATTATTATATCCGTGAAGACAACTCATTGACTTTGCTTGTCGAAATCAGGTTTAACTATTTTGAAATAGGAACTTTTTCAAGGGGTGAAATTATTGCAACTTGACAATAGTCCAACACTAGCTACTTATTAATTAAGCACACCAAGCTTGGAGAGTTCGATTTGAGTGGTCCATTTGATAGTGCTTTGTTTCTAACTTGTGCTTTGTTTCTTGTATCATTTGAATTTTTAATTCTGTAAACTCCAGGTAAATGTCCTCTCTCATTTGGTAAACTTTAGATAATTCGACTTAAAAAATTAATTTATATAAAACAGGCATACATATTTGGTAATACATCAAACACAGGAAAAATCGTGAATTCAAAAGTGTACGTCTCATAGGGTCGGACCTTCCTGTCATCATGAGACCCCTTAGTATTGATATGAGAAATGTTATTCGGATTTGTAAGGGACCCCCTTTTTACTTTTAACGCTCTAGTTGGCAATAAATTCCAATCGGGTCACCCACAATATAAGCTCCATGTCAGGAAACTTTGTATGCTCTTTACAAAATTATTTTTGACAACCAGCGGTGAATATGAACATGAAAAGAATAGAACTGACATGTACTATTAGTAAAAACAATAAAAGACACCTAGTTTATAATAATTTTTTTAATTTATTTCATTTATTGCTACATGTACAAAATAAATATACATTGAGCAAATAGTATATTTACTAACAAATCCATAATCCACCAAATTCCCCCAATTCGACTGACTCCAAGTCCAAATTGGTCGATGGTGTTTTATGAGAGGTTAGTTTGTTATGTATGTTTCGTGTTGATTTTGATCGTTTTATTCTTCCATTTGGGTTCCATGTAAGTTTGCTATCTAATTATTCAGAAATCGTGAGATGCGGTCTGGTGTGATGAAGGTTTCAGGAAAACATTTTCTTTATGCAAACGTTTCGATCTTTATTGAGATCATTTTTAGGGCTCGAAGTGTTTGTCTTCTGTGTAATTGTGCCATTGGCACTCTCAACATGACACGCAAGAATGGCACAATTACACAGAAGACAAACACTTTGAGCCCTGAAGATGATCTCAATAGGATCGAAACGTTGGCACGATAAAGAAAATGTTTTTCTGAAACCTACATCACACCAGACCGCATCTCACTATTTCTGAATAATTATCGATTAACGGTCACTAATCACCACACACTTTGCTATCTAATTGTTGAAGTCGAGAGGATCGGTCAAGAATGAGATAAAATCCTTTTTAAAAAGATAGTTCCTACTCACAGTAAGTTGTTTTGCAACGATCCGGATTTCGAGCTTTTTTGCTCATCATCAGGTTGAAGGACTTCTACAACCACGTCTCTCGACATGAATTGCCAAGTGAGTGAGTAGTTCCAAATTCTAACTTACTGTGAATAGGAACTATCTTTTTAAAAAGGATTGAACACCACACTCACTCGATCATTTATCATTTCTAAGAATGAGGTAGTTGAGAAAAAACCTTTTTCATTTTTTTCCCGACGTTTCGACCTTTATTCGGGTCATCTTCACTGCCTGGGTGAATTAATTACAAAACGCGTTGAGTGGAACCAATACAATACAGATGTAAATATAAATTTTGAACCAAGTATTTCATACTCATATAAAGTGTGGTGCTATTCTTGTGGTGTCATATTGGTTTTGTGTGAAAGTGTTGTGAAACGTGAATTTGTATTCTGCTGTTTTTATATGATTGTGACAGGGGGAAAATCTGGGAAATTTTCTTTGATCATAGGCGGTTTTATTTAACTCAAAGGAAGTCGAGAATGAGGATTTTCTGGATTGGATGAGTGATTCGGCATTCAATACTGGAATTGACATATCCTCGGTTCTATCCTTTATATCATTTGTACTGCTGACCTACTAATACATCCTGACATTATTATCATAACATGGCGGACGTCATGGCAATCCATTCTCTAACTCGAATCCTGTCCAAGCCACCTGCAACATCCAGGAACACGTTGAGCTTATCGAAGACTGGTGTAAAAAATAGAGGACAAGTCTGTACGAAGAAAAATGCACTCAGTGTACCTTTACGCTGAAAAAGCAGTCTTGCCCTCCATTTTATCACAAAGAGATACCAGTCTTCATTCAGGTCATTCGACTGCAGTATGGCAGCAGACTGACGTGAAATCCCCACACAAGACTTAAAAAACAACAACTTAAATCAAGACTTGGACTAATACGAAGACTTGTAAGACTGAAATCGATTTTGACAACTAAGACGAAGCTAACACTGTACAAGACTTTACTAAGACTAATACGGAGCTTAGGAACTGTGGGGTACTGCCAAGCCATCCAATATCCAGCGCGTCCAGTCCTTCCAATCGTAGGTCCTTAGACAAATTGTCAAAGAACCTTATGTCACTAACCTCACTATCCACAAAGACCTCAACATTACTTTTGTCAACGAACTGATCCGGTCCAGATGTTCCCATCTTTACTCATGGGTGTTGAGGCCTATGAGGATCTTTAATGACTTCTCAGACGCCCAAGTGTTCTCAAAGAGAACACCAGGAGGATTTTACATGTATGGACTTGACACATCCCTTGGCTAGCGAGGTAGTGCAATGCTAACCAAGTTCAGAAATGCCCTAAAATGTGCCTTGAAAAAGGCAGTTTTGTGGTTTCCGCACGGCCTTTCACCACCCCGGAGAGATAGAGAAGGCACTCCTGCTCCGGTTGGCCGGTACCCTCCAGCTAAGGTACAATTTGTTTGCAAACCACGACCACCACGAGTCCAACCTACGATGGCCTCGCGACCTCCTTGACAGCTAATCATACACATTGGGTGCCAGCAATTGCTGGCTCCTCAAAGCATGTGTTCTACCGGTGCAGTGCTGGCATTAGTGCTAGTGTTTGTAATCTAAGTAAAGCCCAAGGTAGCGGGCTTGAAATTTTATTTATGTGCATTGGTTTGACGTTTGAGCGTAAACGTAACTTTTTGGCTTTTTTATTCGTTCAACATGATAAATAGAAAGAATGGAGTGCAAAAGAAGGGGGGAGGGAGGGAGGGAGGGAGAGAGAGAGAGAGAGAGAGAGAGAGAGAGAGAGTGAGAGAGAGAGAGAGTGAAGAGAGAAAGGGAGGGAGGGAGAGTGTGAGTGAAAGAGAGAGAGTGTGAGTGAGAGAGAGAGAGAGTGTGAGAGAGAGAGTGTGAGTGAGAGAGAGTGTGAGTGAGAGAGAGAGAGAGTGAGTGAGAANAGAGAGAGAGAGAGAGAGAGAGAGAGAGAGAGAGAGAGAGAGAGAGAGAGAGAAAGAAAGAGACAGAAAGAGTGAGAGAGAGAAAGAAAGAGACAGAGAGAGTGGGCGCGCGTGTATGTGTGAGAGAGAGTGTGAGTGAGAGTGAGGGAGAGAGTGAGAGAGAGATAGGAGTTAAATAAATGTGTATATTACTGTGGCTAAATGTTGCTTACAGCTAATTGATGTCTTAAATAATAATTGATACACGATTTTTTTTATTTCTCTTTTATAAAGCGCGTTGTAATGTTTTAGGATAAATGTTATGATAGAAAAATGTTTCCTGAAAATCACATTAAATATATGATATTTTGTCTATTTTAAAGTTTTCCCATTTGCATCTTTAGATTATTTCTAGTTAATTTAGAAAATTGTTTTTTCCGATTGAACGGATTTTTCTGTAGTGTTGCTTTGATTTTGAGTCAATGAAAAATGACATTGTTATTGCCAACTCTGTTTCCTTCACAATAAGAAGGGAACAAATTGGCTGCAATTGTCTTATTTATCGACTTTCCCGTTTAACCAGAGATAGAAACAATTTTGACAAAGCGTTTCAAAAACGAGTGAACATGTCAAAAATGGAGGGAAGATTTTTCTTTACCAGACGCGTTGAGTTAATTGAGCCGAAATGAAACAACACGGTATGAAATGCTATATAGAACAAAAAAAATTCTAGTAGATTTTATTCAGATAACAAATAGGTGAAAAAAATCGATTATTTTCGTCAACTTGTTTACACGGTATAAACACGATGTTTTGATGAATAATCAAGCTACGGAAAATTAAGCCGAGCGCTTCGATAATTTATTCGATGTTTCGGTTCTGGATATGGAACTAATTTACACTGATTCTATGTGAACAGAGCTTAACTGAGTTGTCAAATGATAATTTTGGTATGATTTATCATGTTAAGAAATGCAGACTTTCCTGCTTTACATTTTCTGACTAAAGTTGTTCCAAATATTAAATAATTATAGTATCCTAAATTATAGTAGAGGATAAGGTTTTGTTTTTATCGGAATTGAATGTTTTATGTATTAGAAATGTTCTTACCTCAAAACCATGAATATCACGAGTGCATTTCCTGACAGGCCGATCACAGCAAGGATAGCGTAAATGGCTGCAAATATGTGGTGAGATCTGTGAGAAGGGGGTGGGTAATTGAACCAATGGGGGTTAATATCGTTGAAGAAGTCTTCCGTTAAGAATCCCAACGACTTCCAGCTGCCCACAGGGTAGATTTTAATGAACTTTGCGTATCTTTCTTCCTCCACCGAAAGTTCTGTCACGTTGTCAAATATAGATTCGTTGTGAATTTCCGTCGTCGATTCGTATATCCAGGGTGTTTCGGTCTGGAAATCTTCCGTCTGCCCGGTGAAATTGTCCTCCCTGTAGATCTTAAGATCGCCGTTGAAACATGACATTCGGTTGAGGCCTTCTTTTTTAGAAAAAACCCGTCTGGTTTCGGCCCGGGAGAAGAAAACGGGAAAAAGCCATAGGATAATTAACATCTCGGCTTTTATGCTAAGCGGACTTAGCAGGGATGATGAGTGATCGCGAGCCAAGTTCCTACTGGGGGTGGTTGATATGAATCGCTTTATCCCTTCCAGCCACCCCTCTACCCATTACCTACCTTAACATTGAACACTTTGATCCTTCTGTTTATTCAAGGTTTTCCTTTTGTTTTCTTCCGAGCTTTGTTCAAAAGAAGTGGGAAAATCTCTTCCTAATGAAAGTGTCACTTTAACTGATTAAACAATTTATTTAGCTACCCTGAAAGTTACATGCCATATTCACGCCTCAATCGTATGCAGGGTGTTAATCTTAGGTCTTGGCAACTAAGAAGAAATTTTAAATTCCAAAAAATATTACTTTTAATTTTTAATAAGCAATTAAAAAACAGCGTTAAAATCGCCATTTTCCCTTACTTTGGAAATATTCTAACATCATCCTCTTCCTGAAACCTGGCAAACCAGCTCAAAAACCCTCATCGTATCGACCAATTAGTTTATTTCCCATCATGTCCAAGTATTTGAAAAATTAATTATTCAGAAATCGTGAGATGCGGTCTGGTGTGATGTAGGCTTCAGAAAAACATTTTCTTTATCGTGCCAACGTTTCGATCTTTATTGAGATCATCTTCAATTTGAAGTATTTGAAAAAATTCTCTTTAAAAGGCTATTGCCACAAGTCTAACCTCCTCCCCGATCATCGGTTTGGCTTCCGCCCTCACCATTCCACAGTCCAGCAGGTGTTTCGCGTTGTTGACCGTATATCCTCCTCCATCGAGCGCAAAGAATATTGTATGGGAGCTTTCCTTGATGCGGCACAAACGTTTGACCGCGTGTGGCACAGGGGACTCCTGTACAAATTAAAGCCAGAGACACACTTACCCGATGCTTCGCCATGCGACGCTACCCTTCCAAATACTCTTTACCTAATTCTCCGCTCTTATCTAACAAAGCGGTTCTTTCGGGTCCGACAACTCCGAATACTGCTATCTGGCCGCGGAAGTACCGCAGGGCCGTGTTCGGACCAATTCTCTACATCCTTTATACTGCACATATAACCTACCACCCTACTTGCATCCTTCGCAGATGTTACAGCTGTACTATCCTCCAATTCCGATCCTGCGGTTGCTTCGGAAGATCTGCAGGAATATATGTCATGTATAGTAGATTGGTTTAGACAATGGAAAATGAAGATAAACGAAAGCAAGAGCATCCATGTCACATTTACACTCCGAAGCAAACCTCCTCTCACGATATACTACAACAACGTTCCTATCTTCAATCCGACTGCGTTCGCTACCTTGGGTTCCACCTAGACTGACGTGGAATCAACATACACGACTGACATGACAAAACCCAAACAGACGGTATGGTCGACTGCACAGACTTATAGGACGACAGTCTAAACTATCGACAAAAAACAAACTTACACTTTAAAACATTACAACCGATTTGGACATACGGAATAGAACTATGGGGAACCGCTAAACCTTCCAATATGCACGTCTCCAATCCTTTCAATCTAAAGTCCTCAGATCCAAATGCTCCTTATTATGTCTCAAATGCTACATCCACAACGACCTTCAAATAGAAATGATAAATGATGGAGTGAGTGTGGTGTTCAATCCTTTTTAAAAAGATAGTTCCTACTCACAGTAAGTTTTTTGCAATGATCCGGATTTCGAGCCTTTTAGCTCATCATCAGGTTGTAGAAGTCCTTCAATCTGATGATGAGCTAAAAGGCTCGAAATCCGGATCGTTGCAAAAAACTTACTGTGAGTAGGAACTATCTTTTTAAAAAGGAACGATCTTCAAATACCTTATATCCAAAAATTTACCAAGTTTCCAAAATCTCTCCCACCATCCAAATAGTCTTGCCCAAGCCCTGTCCGAAAGAACCCATCCCTACAACCCCATAAGGCGTCTCAAGAGGAAATGGCCCCGCGACCTCCTTTCTGAGTAAACTGTAAAAAAACATAAACAAAGTGAAGAGGGAGGATAACATTATTTTCTCCCCTCAATGTAAATAGTTGTATATAAGTTCATGTATCCGCAAATTACATATTGTAAATAATAATTACAGATTGAAATAAAAAAAATAAAAAATAAAAAAACTTTGTTGAACATTTTTGGAAATTGTAGGAATTCTAAAATTTTAAGCGCATACCCTTATAAATTTTTCACCACGGAAAGCTTTTTAAGCCCCGATTTTTTTTTAAATAATGGAACCAATAGGAATTAATTTAAAACTTTTTTTATTCATCATATATCCAGTTAGTAGGTTGTTTGGGCAGGCTGAACTATTTTTTTTTCCACCGTTCTGCTTCCATACAAGTTAAGTTGTTAAAAACTTATCCAATTTTTAATTCCAAAAAATTATCTAAATATTTTTCACGACGGTGAAAACTGTCTGAATCTTTCCGATTGTTGTACTGATTTTCCACTGTCATGAAAATCCCTTTCTGCCTGGACTTTCTTCTATTTTTATTATTATTTTTGTGCATAAGAATACATTATAAAAGAAAAAATATATACAAAAATGGCACTCTCGACACGACACGCAAGAATGGCACAATTACACAGAAGACAAACACTTTGAGCTCTGAAGATGATCTCAATAAAGATCGAAACGTTGGCACGATAAAGAAAATGTTTTTCTGATACCTACATCACACCAGACCGCATCTCACGATTTCTAAATAAATATACAAAAATAAGTATCCCAATGAGTCAACAATGTTTTTTATTTAATGAAAGTTATTCAGTTATCGACAAACTTTGGTTATGCTCTGTTATGTGATTATTTGGTATTTGGTCCTTAATCCAACACTGCTTTATACGGTTTTACAATCTTCTGTATGACCTTTTTCAGGTCATAAATTTTCGCACTATCCAGAAATTTCCGATCGTACATAATATATATACAGGGTGTTCTGCTACTCGAGTTACAAACTTTGCCAGTAGATTCTACATTCAAAATGGAACCAAAAAGTCCTAATTAACTATGATCCGAATCTCAACAGTTTCTGAGTTATTCCACTTTTTCTGATTTTTTAAGATTTCAAGATTGCTTCAAATAAACAATGATAGGTCCAAAACTAAAAGGTTTTTGACAAATCCATCGATACCATTGAAAACTCCGTTAAATTTCCAATAAACTGTGATTAATACTAAACTTGTAAACATTGGTGAAATAAGGGATTTAGTAGCCAGAACTTTGAAAAATTATTTTTTGTTCAATGTTGAAAAACTTACTATGGTGATTTTAAACTACTATTTTCAAACCTAGAGACCAGCAAATTTCATAAACCAGCAAAAAAAAAGAATGCAAAAACTTAAGGAAATTTTGATTGAATGAAATAAAAACGTTTTGAGTCGTTACAGATACCCTGTCCAGAAATTTACAATCGTACATATATTTACAGGATGTTCGGCTACTCGTGTTACAAACTTTGCCAGTAGATTCTACATTCAAAATGGAACCAAAAAGTCCTAATTAACTATGATCCGAATCTCAACAGTTTCGGAGTTATTCCACTTTTTATGATTTTTTAAGATTTCACGACCTTCCTTGAAATAAACAATGATAACACCAAAACTAAAAGGTTTTGGACAAATCCGTTGACACCATTGAAAACTACGATAAATTTCCAATAAGATGTGCTCAATGCTAGTACTCAATTTAGGTGAAATAAGCATTTTAGTAGCCAGAACTTTGAAAAATAATTTTTTGTTCAATGTTGAAAAACTTACTACGGTGATTTTTAATTACTATTATCATCCCTAGAGAACAGGAAATTTCAGAAAACGTACTCCATTTAATATCCTTTTTAGCGGTATAATTGCTTTTTTAATTACTTTTTTCAAAGATGAAGAAATTGATGAAGGAAAGGTAAAAACCGTGGTTGATGGATTGGTTTGGTGGAAAAAAAATGTAAAAACTTACGGAATTTTGACTGAACTAAAAACATCTTGAATCTTAAAACTCTTCTCAACGCTTAATATATTCATTCAAAATTTCCTTGAGTTTTTACATTTTTTTAATCTTTCCAACAAACCAATCCATCAACCACGGTTTTTACCTTTCCTTCATTAATTTCTTCATCTTTGAAAAAAGTAATTAAAAAAGCAATTATACCACTAAAAAGGATATTAAATGGAGTACTTTTTTTCTGAAATTTGCTGGTTTCCAGGTTTGAAAATAGTAGTTTAGAATCACCACAGTAAGTTTTTCAACATTGAACAAAAATTATTTTTCACAGTTCTGGCTACTAAAACGGTTATTTCACCATATTTTACAAGTTTAATATTGATTACATCTTATTGGAAATTTAACGTAATTTTCAATGGTATCAATAGATTTGTCCAAAACCTTGTAGTTTTGGAGTTATCACTGTTTATTTGAAGCAAGGTCGTGAAATGTTGAAAAATCAGAAAAAGAGGAATAACTCTGAAGCTGTTGAGATCTTCGAGCTGTGCGTCCAGAAATTTGGACACCTCGAATTTCCTGGAGCTGATGAATCGCTTGAAAAACAGTAAGATGTCGGTTTTGCAAAATTCTCAGTCAAAAACGGTTAACCTGTGGTTCTGATATCCTAGGGTTTTCTATGTTAGGACACAGTTTCTCCAATAGCGGGATACCTGATGGAACGTCCATCATCAGTAAATGCCACCCCACGCGCAACATCCTCAACATGAAGTGGCATAAAAAAATTTGAACTTAAAAAACAAAGATGAAAATTAAACAGTTGAATGCTTCAGAATCCAAATGAGACTGACTAAACATTTTAAATTCCGTAAAAAAGTTAACATTGAAAAATCCTTTATCCTTGTTTTGCATTAAGGATTAAGTGAGTTTACCTCTAATTGATATTCCCAATTTAAAACATAGCATAAACACATATTTACCGATAAAAACAATGAGACAAATTTAAGGGCAGTATTTTCTTTTATCGAGAAAATTTAAAAAAATCAATTTGGAATTTTTTTGCCTTTCAGTGTGTATAATTACACTACCTTAGAAAATTGTACAGAATAAATTTATTTGTACTTATTATTTTCATTTTCTTTAAAATTATTACTAGTTTTGAGTTTTAATATAATTTAATATTCTTCCTGATTTTTGAGATCAATAAAAAAAATTATGGGAAAATCATGCTGTCATGCTATTCTTAGTCTGTTAGTGGATGTCATTTGGAAAACCAAATACCTCGGAAGTTTATCGGATTTTTCATACATCCATTTTTTTTTCATTTAGATGAGGTTTGATGTGTAATTAGGCTACAGTAGAAATCCGTTTATCCGGATGATCGAAAGTCCGGATAATCCGAAAATTTGTGATCTTATTAGAATCGTGTCATAAAAACGGAAAATAAACATACATAAGAAAGTGAACACTTTTATTCATATATCAGGTTACATTTAAAGTAATAATTTTTTATTAGTTTTATTTTTGTTTCTCATTCGCGTTTCTGAAAAATTTATACGTATATAATACCTAACAAAAATATAA